TAATATCTTTAAAAAAATATTTTTCAGATTGTATCCAAACTTGTTGGAAAATAGAAACAATTTTGAGAATTCTCACGTGTTTTTACATATATTATGATATGCATACATATATAAAGAGGGAGGTAATGGAATACTAAATGTCAGGTTTTGTAGGCCATTTACAGTCTATGAATTAATCTTAGAGGGCTAGTTTGGAGTTGTGATTAATACACTGGGATAGAAACTGGGACATCATGAATTCCAGTCCCACTTTAGTCACAAAACTAGCTGGGAGACCCAAGGGCCAAAGAGAACATTTTGCACCAAATGAGATTATCAAAATTTTCTATTCTTTTCTAACAATAACATCTAAGATTGACAAATCATATAGTAATCAATTCTGAAAATGTCATGAAACAGAAAGAACGTTTTATCCAGTGGCGAAATGCACTTACCTTCGCTACCGATTGGAAATGTGAGCACGTGCCTCTTCTGCGCATGCGCAGAGGGTAAAAAACAGGACGTAATGGCGTCCCGGTGGGTGGGCGGAGCTTGCCACCGCCGGCCCTACCACCTCGCACAAGCCTGATAGATCAGGCCGGATTTCACCACTGGTTTTATCATCTGTGATGGACATGTAAAAAAAAAAAATCCCCAAAATACTGAAAAGACATACATATAGTGTAATGCAGAAAATCTTGTAATTTAAATTTGAAATGAAACTATAACTTTTCTTACTAGATGTCTATGGAAATTCTCAGTCATCCAGGTCATGGTTATCCCAAAGGTGCTTTTTTCAAGAGCCAACTGGATTTCCTTGTTTTTCTTTGAAGACATTTTGCTTCTCATCCAAGAAGCTTCTTCAGCTCTGACTGGATGGTGGGGAATGGAAGAATTTATATTCCTTGCAGACAGCTGGTCATTTGCATTATTTTAGAAAGTCGTTGAGGCCACCTGGAGGTTTATCTGTGTCCTCAGGGTCACCTGAGTAGTGCAAATGGGTGTCTTGGAACTGATGAAAGGACTGTGTAGACTGGAGATAGATGATGACATATCCCCCCCCCTCTGTTGAGAGAGGGCTATTCAATTCTGACATAGATAACCTCTTTGACCCCTCTTTCAAACCAGTGGTCCTCTCTGTCCAAAATGTGGACTATGCTGTCTTCAAAAGAGTGGCTTTTGTCTTTTAAATGCAGATGGACTGCTAAGTCTTGTCATGATGGGTTTGTTCTCCTATGTTATGCCATGCTTTTATGAAGTGGATGTTTTGTTTCCCCAATGTACAGATCTGCACATCTCATATGTGTACTGCATATAACCACGTTGTTCAATTTGTATCTGGGTGTTTTATCCTTGGGGTGGATAAGCTTCTGCCTAAGTGTATTCTTGGGTTTAAAGTGTGCACGTATGCTGTGTTGACTGAAGATCCTCCTGAGCTTTTCAGATATCCCTGCAATGTATGGAATGACAGCATTGCTTCATTTATTGTTTTCTTCTTTGCCTATTATGGAGGAATTCCTGCTAAGTCTTTGGGGGGATTTGAGGGCTTCCTTGATGTGTTTTAGTTCTTTTCCCCCTGTATTTGTACTGTACAGTCCAGGAAGGCTAGACAATAAAATCGATGTATCTGTCCACAGAGTTGGTATGTTTGGTGAATGCTTCCAATTCTGGTGTTTTGATCTTGACCCAAGGATCATTCACATAATACCAATGAGTGGGTGGAATTTCTGTGAAGGAGTTTTGGGCTTTGGTTTCTATCTCTTCCATGTAGGTGAACTCATGGAACAGCCATATTTTTTCACCAAACATATCACCTCTGTGGACAGATGCATCAAATTCATATGGGAAGATGTTAAGGAAAATAATCTAGCCTTCCTGGACTGTGCAGTACACATTAAGGAAGAGAGAAGCCTTAACATTGAAGTTTACCAAAAAAAAACCCACACAGAGATCAATATTTACATTTTGATTCTCACCATCCACTGGAGCACAAAATGGGAGTTATCAGAACTGTACACCAGTGAGCTGAAGACCAGCCTACCAGCAAATATGGGAAAGAAAAAGAACTAAAACACATCAAGGAAGCCTTCAAAACATGTGGCTATCGCAAGTGGGCCTTCATCAAATCCCCAAAAAGACCCAGCAGGAGCTCCTCCATAACAAAGAAGAGAACAACTAATGAAGCAATTCCATACATTGCAGGAATATCTGAAAAGCTCAGGAGGATCTTCAGCCACACAACATACATGCACACTTTAAACCCAGGGAGCTTGTCCACCCCAAGAATAAAACACCCAAACACAAACAGAGCAACGTGGTTATATGCAGTACACATATGAGAGATGTGCAGATCTGTACATTGGGGAGACAAAACAACCACTTCATAAAAAAATAGCACAACATAGGAGATAGAGGAAAGGTTTTTTCACAGCTATGTTGAAGGGGAGGGTTAAACGTCCCTTCCTTATATCTTTTGGTCGCAATATTTGTTTAGATTCTAGATAATAACAGTTACTGCTTATGATAATTGAATGTCTTGTCTAGCTATGTCCATTTGGGGAGAGAATAAGTTGTTGTATTTTTAATTTGGTAAAATTCATATAGAGGTAATTCTGAGTCTGATGTCATTGCTAAAGCTGTTGCTTCCTATCTGCCAAATGTTCACTCTTTCTCAAGAGGCATGGTAGCTCAGTGGCTTAATGATGCTGGAGATGGTATCTGCTCTGAGGTTTGAGCTCTAGCACTGTATGTCGGGGTGAGTTCCTGTCACTTGCCTCAACTTCTGCCCACCTAGCAATTTGAAAACATGTTCTGTGAGAGTAGTTAAATAGGTACCACATTGGTGGAGGGACGAACTGGTACTTCGTGCAGGTGGTCAGATTCCTGCCAGCTGTGAACCTTCCTGATTGCGAAACCCATTTGCAAGGCCACTCTGATGGAGAGAGGGGGACACTGCTGGAAGAACTGCTTGTCTTTCTCTCTGGTGCGAAGCTAGCTTGCTCTCCTGTGGCGCACCTTAGGAAACATGCAAACATGTACCACAACAGAGCTAGTTAATTGCCAGCCAAACTACTACTCTGAATTAGCATTGTAGTCTCCTGGCTATTGAAACAACTCCATACACTAATAATATTCTTCCTCAAGTATTCAACTCTTTGTGGAGTGCTTGGTGCTTCTCGAGCTTGGATGTTTGCTTGAAGATGTTGCATCGCCAGACTAAAGCAATATCTTCAGTGACTAGATAACAAAATAGCACTGAAGATGTTACCTAGTCTGGTAACGAAACATCTGCAAGTAAATAACCAAGCCACCCAGGATTTCACAGGACTCAATCCTGAGCTATATATATTCTCTTCCATTGATTCAACTTTTTGTTGCTATCTAATGGTTATTGTCAGGGGTGAAATCTACTTACTTTCCTTACCGGTTTGGAAGTGCATACACCATGCGCATGCTCAATTCGCAAGCATAAGCATCACATGCACGCGCAGACCTGCACATGTGCAAAACCTTCTGCGCAGGTGGTGTCTGGGTGTCCGCCATCGCTACCAGATCGCTGAACCGCTGGCCAAGATTGCTACTGGACCGGGCGATCCGGTCCAATCCGGGAGCATTTCACCCCTGGTTATTGTAGTCCTACTTAAGCATTTGTGCAAATGCAGTGAATGGTGAACCAGAATGGTGCTACTTACAACTGCCTGGGGCATTTTTGGGGAAGTCTGCTGGTTCCCAAGAAACAGCCTCTTAACATGGGGTGGGGGGGAGTTATTCTTTAACTAAAGGGGCATTGCTGTTCTCATTTAACCCTTTCTGGATTACTTCAAGTAATAAGATGCTTCTGAGAAATGTGAAACTGACAGTTGATTATATAGCAAGCATGCTAATCTTGTGTTACAACTGTTTTAACAGATTAAGAATTCATTTTGAGTCCAGATTCAATTAAAAATGCTACTAAGTAGCTTGAAAGCAAGTTAGCTAAAATATATTTTTTCCCACTGTGCCTGCTAAACTATTGATATGCCCATCTCTTATTCTGCCACTTTTTGAAGTGCTTCTGATGGGAACAAAAAGTTATTTTTAACAGCAGCATTGAGATGTAAAAATCTTATCCTTCAGGGGTTTGTTTGATTCTTTTTCTTGATACTTTCCTACCAAAATCATTTATAATTAAGTAGCTCTTTCATCTAAAATTAATCTGCTAGCTCTAGTGCTCGTAAATTTTGTTTTAGGTATGATTTTTATGGGTATGGGTTTGGATGCTGTGAGTTTTATGTATGGGTTTTTATTTTATTTTCATTGTATGTTTAACTGACTGAAAACATGTATAGCATTAGCAGGAACCCCAGTTACAAAAGCTGGAATAGCTAGAAGTGTAAAACGTAGAAAATTGTAGAAAACACCCATAGACTTGAGGTCTTTTCCTTCCTCATGGTAGGAGTGGAACTACTGCAAAATTGTGCAGAATTTTGCAAAATTGTACACCGACCAGCACAAAGTTGCTTCCCGCAAAGGCTTACGTGCCTTTGCTCCTCCTTTATGTCTTATGGGAGGGGCCAATCATCTCCAAACCTTACTCCCAAGTCGCCCCTTTTTTCTTAACTGTTCTTGCCTTCTGGCAGCTCTGCGCATGTGCACACTGGGAACAGGCTCCCCCTGTTCCTCTACTTCACTGACATCAGACTCTGGAGGCTCCAGAGTCAGCACATAACTCTCAGATGGCCCTGGCCCCATATCTGCATTTGACGCAGAACCTTCGTCCAAGCCTTTCCCTAGTATGGTGGTGTCCACATTACAGAGAACTCAGTCCATTTTTTTTTTGTTTCTACAAGCTCAACACAAAATCCCAGATAGCTTTGCAAGATGCACGTGTACACAAGATGTGTACATATTATTTATACTCAGCTGAATAAGATCAAAATCAGACAGATTTATATGGACAATTGATAAAACAGTAAATGTTTTTCTTATGCATATTTTTGTCTCCATTTCTGTCCTCACATTCTTCTCTTCTTTTTTTTCAGGCTGTGCATCTAGCTCAGGCAAGTTTCCAGATTGAAGCTTTCAGTTCTATGTTTATTCTTGACCTCTCCCTGAACAAGTAAGTGTATATCTATGGTTCTCACTTATTTTGTTCAGTATAGCAGATCTTTTAATTAAAATAAATATTCTAATGAAAGAAAAGTTCATAAAGTATACTCTCATTTTCTGGAAAGTATTGCCAAACTGTAAAGATACAATAATGACTCCCATCTGATTATTAACAAGGTTGTTAGCAGGGGTGTTCTCCTATGCAAATAACACAGGTTGCATCCCAGTTGGATGATAAGTCGCCATTATAAATGGTAAACAGAGGTGACACAAAACATTACAGAATCTTACTGGAACCTTATTGGAATTGTGGCTAAAATGTATACCAACATTTTTTGAGCAAAATAGAAGACTGAGTAATCTAAAAAAAATCTCCTAATGAAGGAACAAACTGGATTTAGACCAGAGCGCTCCACAATAGATAATTGTTTTATTTTATATTACTTTGCAACAAAACAACAAACTAATGGCAAGAAACTGTGTACCACATTTATAGATCTCAATGTGAGTTTTGGTTCTATGAACAGAAATATTTTATGGAAGAAATTGGCCAAAATAAATATGGAAGATTCTTACTCTTGATTACTCTTGGTTAAGGCCCTAAACTGAAAAATTGTTTTGAAATCTCTACGGGTCTTAGAGGCTCTCTAAGAGTATATCTGCACCTAAGGGTGTTAGACAGAATTGTTTTCTATCCCAATGCTTTTTAGACTCTATGTCAATGATGTTCCAGGATTCCTATATGCTTCAGACACTTGTATGCCAAAGATCCATTATTAATAAATTTATATAGTACTAATGCCTCACTCTGAAATAGGCCTGTTGTGAAAGCTAAATACCTACTGTTTTTTTAATTCTTTAAACATCAATAAAATCAAATAAAATGTGATGATATTTATCAAACAAAATGTGAAATTTAACTGGCAGATAACTGGGAAGTCTTGATCCAGTGATTTTTTTTTACTTGTTTACGAGTCGTTTTTACCAACACAGGGTTGGGGCTAAATCATTTTAAAAGAAGCTTGGCAAGGGCCGAGGAAAGTACTAAAAGTTTATATAAATTATTTAATTACAATTACCCAGGTATCTTGACCCCATACTTAAAGTATTCAGGGCAAATGTAGCCCCAGTGCTGACTTATTGTGCTCAATGGAAGGGTCTTACAAAAGCTTCCTCACTTGAACAAGTTCAGACTTCTTTTTAAGGAAGCATATTTGGAACTGATAAGAACATATCAGCTCCCGTGGTCAGAGCAGAAGCAGGTGTCCATTCCATACATAACCTATCAATAATTAAAGTGTTCACATACTGGCAAAAGATCCATTCAATTGATCCTGATAGGTTACCCAAAATATACTTAGAAAAACAGTTAAGTATGGCTCAGCCCAATTCCTGGGTAAGCCAATTTACCAAAGTTATTTCTACCCAGTGTTTACTCTCAACTAACTCAACTAACTAACTTAAGCAAGGCAAATTTTTAAATTTTTCAGTTCTCAGTGTCCAAAGTGACATATAGTTATTGGCAAAAAATAAATATTTAAATTGGTTTTCTAAGAACAAAACTATTTTTCAATTTGAAAAATACCTGTCAGTCAGTTTGATGCAGTTCTTAATTAAGAAGGGCTGTTCTAGAACAAGATCTGAGTTTTTGAATCCCATGGCCAAATTAGATACTTCCAACTCCTGCCATATCATGACTTGAAGATATTGCTCATATTTTATTTGACTGTCAACTGTATGTATGCCCCACTTAGACTAAGATAATTAACATCCCTGCTTGAAAGAACAGCCTACTGGAATCTGAACTGAAGATCATCCTATTTCCTCCTGGGTTCTAATTGTGAGCAGAACTGCTAAATTTATAGTTAAGCAGTTGAGAACCTGTTACATCGAACAGATTGGGGTGTCCTGTAAAGGTGATGTATTTATCTAGAGGTTGATTCTTTGCATTTACCACATATGTAAGAGCCTTGGTGGCGCAGCAGACTAAAGTGTTATTAAGTAGCACCAGCTGCCTGCAATTACTGCAAGTTCAAATCTCACCAGGCTCAAGGTTGACTCAGCCTTCCATCCTTTCGAGGTAGGTAAATTGAGGACCCGGATTGTGGGGGCAATAAGTTGACTTTGTATAAAAAAGAACACCGCTGGGGGGGGGGGCGAAAGCCCTATTAAGCAGGTATATACAAAAGTATGAAAGCTATTGCTTAACGTATTGTAAGCTGCCCTGAGTCCCCGGAGAAGGGCAGCATATAAATCGAACCAATAAACAATAAATGTATTTTATTACTGTATTTTCTTTTATCTATTTACTATAGAATCAGATCAAGTATTTTATTTTTATTTTATCTTCTTAGATATGGTCATAAGACTAATCAATAAACTATTGCTGTAGCCGTACTCCATTGCTGCTGGAGTGCTGTAATTGGTGGGGAAGGATAACAAAGTCAATCACTCTGCATTTTTTCCCAATAGGAACTTGTCTTATAGGATTCATTGGGAAAGCATCTGAGGATGACTTCCCTTCTACATAAATTGAAATGCTAAATGCAGCTTAGATTAAATTTGATTTGCTTCTGTTATCTACTCTTATTTCCAAGCCCTGTCTTGAGATGGAAATATTATTTACAAGACAGGATGAACCCCAGATTAATACCTTTGAAAACTCTACAGGGACCTCCTAATATTTAATACAGCTCACCTACACTTTGCACTGGATCTGTGGTCTTTGCAGGGTGAGGGAGAAGCCCAGTTGTATCACTTGATGTTATCCATTTAGTTGCTTAGTATCTGATAATCTGAGTACAGGCTTATCCTCATTAGGCAGTGTAACTCTTTCGAAAACACAGGAAATATATTTTAAGGAATTATACAGCAAGGCTGATGCTATCAGCCATTTACCACTAAACTTGATAAAGAGAGAAGTGGGCTCTATTAACAGCTGTGTTCATGGCTATTATCCAACTTGGGCAAATTCTTAAAGACTGGATTGTTGCAATCATAGTGCCTCTGCATAAGAATTGCACTGAAGAGTATCCTTAAAATTATAGATCAATAAGCTTGTTCAACACCATCAAAAGGTTTATGCCAGGAATAGAATAGAAGCTTTGTGACCAGCTGAAGCAGGAAATGTTCTGGATGGAAGAGCAAACTGATTTCAAAGAAGGTTGATCAGCTATCGCATATACTCTTGCAAAATCTGACAGAAAAATGTTCAGTCTGTAGCCTCTCTTTATGCAGCATTTATTGATTTATGCTTTGACTCCAACTTGCATGATGTTCTTTGGAAGAAATTGAAAACTTCCTCTATAGATAGGAGGCTTTTATATTGCTAGCCTTCCAAGTTGGCAGGGAGGTGCATCTCTACCTTTCTTAATGCTGATGATACTGTGATCATCTGGAGCATACCCATTGGTCTTAGGACAGCATTCCTAGCACTTGCCCAACAATGAGCAAGAGCACTACACTGAATTATTCTAAAACCAAAATTGAGGTATTTGCCAGAAGACCAAAGAGCTATTCCTATACAGTATTAAGGTTCATTGTAATAAGGAAGAGATTTCATGCCTCAAGCAGATGAAAGGCACATGGCAGCTCTGTTGCTCTGAGTGCCCAAAAGAGCTCAGCTCAGAAGTGAAAGGGAGTTGCATTCTAGCAACCCTTGGGTAATTTCAAGCTGAATCTTTGTCCCAGATCACTTATGGACAATGAGTCCAGTCCAAATTCTCCAGTGTGTTGTTTTAGGTGCCTTGTTGTGTTTCTAATGAATCTCTATGCCTTGAATCAGGTGTGATGAAGAGGTATCTAATGGCATGGTCCTGAATATGACTGATTTTGTATTGTATCTCTCATTATATTATTTCCTTATTTTTTATTGTTCTTTGGTCCTTGGCAGTAATAACATTGAAGTTCATGTTGAATTGGGACAATTATGCAAATGTTTAAAAGTATGCTATTTTAAGCTATTTGTCATTTCTAAAATTATTGTTTGTTATGCAAACCATTAAAGAGGTCACTGGTTGCCAGCCTATGTATTGAATTATGGGCTTCAATGTTTTGTGAATTTTCTTGAGCAGTGCAAAAAAGAAATGTACAATATAAATGCTATTTATGTATAAAAATAATTAACTTTGGTTTCAGGTACATTTTTTGTGATGCAGGCATGCCTCTGAGCCAGACATAAAAGCAAGTTTTCTAGGCAATGTTTCTGGGAGTGTTTTGCCTTTGTCTTCTTTCTAAGTCTGAGAGAGAGGGGCTGGTCCAAAATCATCCAGCTGGCTTTGTGCCTAAAGAGGGAGTAGAACTCACAATTTCCATGTATCTAAGCACTTAAACATAATATGCAATATTTAAATCCAGATTTACCTCATCAGGGATAATTACTCTTGGTTATTCTTTATTTGCAATGAATAAAGTCAGCTTTATATAGCAGATTATACTGACACATTTTCCTTTGCTTCTTTGTAGTGACTTATTATCTGCTGATTATGTGGAAATTCATTATGAAGATGACAAACCACAATATTCAAAGGTAGTGTAGTCATTTTTCTTGTGTTTGATAATATTAGCATATCTCATATATTTATTTTTTGTTAAATGTTTCAAAGTGTGAAATGTGCATTTTGTCTACTAATATCTGTGGCATTTGATATGCCATCTCTTTGCTATGATAGGATAGTAGGACAAGTTTAATAAATTTTAATAAGATTAGGCTTTGAAATCACAGCCTGCTTAGTTTAAAATACTGTATTGTTTGTTGTTGTTTAGTTACTAAGTCATTTCTGATTCTTTATGACCTCATGAATGGACCACAACTTGTCAGCTCCCCATGTCCCCCACTGTATCCTGCCATCCCCTTCTCCTTTTGCTTTCAATCTTTCCCGACATCAGGGTCTTTTTCAATTAGTCCTCGCTTCTCATTTTGATCAGCTTCATTCTATCTGGTCGAAATTGAACAGAATCAGGTGTGATACTGGAAGAAGCGCCTCTGCCCTATATCAGTGGGGATGGAAAGATCCACCTTGTTGCAATTGCGGTGCTGATATGCAAACTGTTAAACGTATTGTGCAAGATTGCCATTACAACCCTTGCAGGGTCGAGCTGAGGATTTTGTGCAATTCCTGCACGATAAAGTCGCTCGGATTCGGGAAGGCTTGGACTCTGACTGGGTGAGTCCGGGGGAGGAGACGAGGGTAGGTCTTGAGAATATTATCTGGGAGGAGTTTGATCCTGTGGCTCCCGAGGATGTGGACAGGGTTCTGGGTAGGATTAGTGCCGCCACATGTTTATTGGACCCGTGTCCCTCCTGGTTGGTACTGGCCTCCCGGGAAGTTACACGAGGCTGGCTCCAGGGGATTATAACTGCTTCTCTGAGTGAGGGTGCCTTTCCCGCCGCCTTGAAAGAGGCGGTGGTGAGGCCCCTCCTCAAGAAGCCTTCCCTGGACCCGGCTGAATTAGTTAACTATTGTCCGGTCTCCAACCTTCGTTTTGTGGCGAAGGTTGTTGAGAGTGTGATGGCACGACAACTGCCCAGGCACCTGGATGAAGCTATCTATCTAGACCCGTACCAGTCGGGCTTCAGGCAGGGGCACAGCACAGAAACGGCATTGGTCGCGTTGGTGGATGATCTCTGGAGGGCCCGGGACAGGGGTTGCTCCTCTGTCCTAGTCCTATTAGATCTCTCAGCGGCTTTTGATACCATCGACCATGGTATCATGCTGCAGCGGTTGAAGGGGTTAGTAGGGGGCACCGTTTTGCGGTGGTTCTCTTCCTCTCCGGCCGCTCGCAGTTCGTGTTGGCAGGGGGGCAGAGGTCGACCTCGAGGCATCTCACATGGGGAGTGCCACAAGGGTCGGTCCTCTCGCCTCTTCTGTTCAACATTTATGTGAAGCCGCTGGGTGAGATCATCCGTGGTTTTGGGGTGAAGTGTCACCTGTACGCTGATGATACTCAGCTGTACATCTCCACCCCAGACCACCCCAACGATGCCCTTGATGTGATGTCTCGCTGCCTGGAGGCCGTGCGGGTCTGGATGGGGAGGAACAGGCTCAGACTCAACCCTTCCAAGACCGAGTGGCTGTGGCTACCGGCGTCCCGATATAGTCAGCAGGTGCCATCGCTGACTATTGGGGGTGAATCTTTGCCCCCCACAGAGAGGGCTCACAATCTGGGTATCCTCCTGGACGCACGGCTGTCTTTAGAAAAGCATATGACGGCCGTGGCCAAGGGGGCCTTTTATCAGGTTCGCCTGATCCGCCAGTTGCAGCCCTTTCTGGACCGGGACGCCTTGCGCACGGTCACTCATGCCCGTGTCACCTCCCGCCTGGACTATTGTAATGCTCTCTATGTGGGGCTCCCCTTGAAGAGCACTCGGAGGCTCCAGCTGGTCCAGAATGCGGCCGCGCGAGTGGTTATGGGCGCACCTCGTTGTGCCCGTGTGACACCCCTCCTGCGCGAGCTGCACTGGCTCCCAGTGGTCTTCTGGGTGCGATTCAAGGTGTTGGTTACCACCTTTAAAGCGCTCCATGGCACAGGACCCGGATACCTTCGAGACCGTCTTCTGCCACCAATAGCCTCCCACCGACCAGTCCTTTCCCACAGAGAGGGTCTCCTCAGGGTGCCATCAGCCAAGTTATGTCGGCTGGCGACACCCAGGGGGAGGGCCTTCTCTGTGGGAGCCCCAACCCTGTCGAATGAACTGCCCCCGGAAATACGTAAGATCTCCAACCTCCGGGTGTTCCGCTGCGCACTGAAGACCCTGTTGGTCCGCCAGGCAGGGCTGTCAATATAATAATTTTAAATTGGGGTATTTTAATTTTTGGGGTTTTAAATCGGCCAAATCTATTTAATCATTTTAATTTTTAATTATTGTTGTGTCTTGTGTTTTTAAATTGGCTGTACACCGCCCTGAATCCTTCGGGAGAAGGGCGGTATAGAAATAAAATTATTATTATTATTATTATTATTATTATTATTATTATTATTATTATTATTATTATTATTATTATTATTATTATTATTATTATTACGTGCGTTCTCTGGTTCCTTAAAAGATCTGCATGAAGCAGTGCCAGAGGTGATCACCTGAGTTGTGAAACCACTGCCTTATCCCCAAACAAGTTTTACCTATAATTATGTGGATTGTGTATATATGTTTACTTCTTTTTTGTCCTGTTCTCATCATACACTAAATAATAACAATAATAACAATAACAACAACAATAATTGGTGTCCATAGTATTTGAGTTTCAGCTTCAGTATCTGTCCTTCCAAAGAACATTGTTGATTTTTTTTAGGATTGACTGATTTGATCTCCTTCCAGTCCAACTCTTCATCCACCCTGGCATTTCACATGAAATATATTGCTTAACTATTGCTTAATATTTTATATATAAAAAATATTAAGGCATTTAAAAAAACTAATTGTTTTTTTAAAAACAGAAAAACAGAAACTATCCAAAGGATTTCATGTGGAAAACAGGCAAAATGCTGAATATTATTAGTCCCATTCTGTTGCTTTAAATTCAGCTTCAGTTTCATCATTGCCAAACAGCTGCTTATTCTTATTAATGTAAATATTATAAACTATAAACAATGTGTGGGCAAATGCAAATTGTTAAATAAAAGAAAGTTTCAGGGGGTTCAAAAAAGCTATATTATTATAGCTATCTCATCAGATATTAAACTGGGATACTTAAAATTAAATTTTACTGTGTTGTAGTAAAATAGTGTCTATATTATATTCACTTGATGTATACATTTATGGAATGAGGCAAATGCTGGTCTTTAATGTTTACTCTTTGGCTTCAGCCTCCATAGAAAAACTGTGTCTGCACAGGACATGTAATTGTTATCTGATACGATAGATATTCAAGAGAATTCTACATTGAAGAAACCTGGATGTTAGATTGTACTGGTGCTGGTGGAAGAGAGGGTAGATAAAATAGTTTTGAATTTTGCTTCATGTAAAATCTTCATTGGTTGTGCTAAACATTAATTGAAGTATAGTTTCAAATATGGATTGTGGCTTATTTGGGAGTGTAATTTCTGGATTGGCTTTCAAAAAACTTCCAGAATAGAAATACGGTTATAGGTTTTTATTGACAACTAAGAAACTCCTGTATTATCAACAGTATTTGAGACACACTTAGGGGCTAAAATCCCACTAGAAATAATAAATAGGACATTTTTTTTTACATATAGCAGTAATTTGACCTAGATTTCTCTAAACATTTTTCAGAGTTAGTCATTTGTAAATAGTGAGGGAAGTCTTGAGATTATATACCACTTTGCTGATATAATTACTAATATTCTCAGGAGAAATAGTGAATTCATTATCCAGGAGATTAAATATAGAACATTTCTTCCATGTTTAGAAAATGAATTTTAATGTTGTTTTATACAGTAAAAAGAGCTGCTATTTTGTATTTTTTATGAATATGCTATATGATGACTTGAAACTGAGGTGAAAAGCCTTAGACTTTTTAAAAAAAAGAATAAAAGTGAGTAAGTGAAGTCCCTCCTTCACAGTCCCCTAATGACCATTTTGGAATACCCATGTTAAGAGTGTGCAATGTACAGATTACACTCAAGATCATGTGGTCTTTCTTTTATTTAAATATTTTGTGCTTAATTCTGATCAAATGCACAAATCAAAGTGCAGAGCAATAATGGATTTGTGAGTTAATTGATTGTTTCTCATCAATTTTCTTGAAATCCAATCAATTCTTTTTTATTTTGTTTTTCATTTCACACAAAAGTTATTTTTTTAAAAAAAAATCATAAAATTATAATTGTACTTGTGCCTGCTTTTTAAAAAAATCAACTTAAGCATTCAAATTTAGATTTGGTTATGATGACCCTAGGTGAAAATAGATAATTTAGTCTATTAAAAGTTTCACTAACAACTATAAATTGGAAACAGTCTATTTGATGTCCATTGGCACTGGTATATTTGCAGAAAAAGTTTAACACACTTCATAACTGAGCACTAGTTTCATATTTATTTTAAGAATGCTGTTGGGTCATAGATTGGCCATAAAAACAATGATTTGAAATGCAGTACTTTGATGGTGTATCCATTTGCTCAGAAAAAAAGGTGTACCATAGGAATAGGTGGTTACCAAGATAGTTCTCTTTGTGTCTAGCTGTAGTAAACTCTCCAGAGGTACCTGGAGCTGGATGGCATATGCATTTAAATAAGACCTGACAATTTCTTTCCTGAAAGCAGGAAAGTTAAAGAAAGAGACAGAGGGACTCTAAAACCAAGCCTTAAGAACAAATATATGCAAAGCCAGGACTGAAAAAACCACAACAGACAATAAATGCTACCTGTCCACTGAAGAAGCACTACTAGTTAGTTGTTGCAAGAAGATTGCACAGACAGACAACAAGCAGTGGCATGACCAAGTAACAGCAATGGGGCACTGGAATATCTGCAAAAAATACCATTTGAATATCTTTGCAAGCAAGAACTTGTGGGATCACAAAATAGACAAAGTAATAGAAAACAAAGAAACTAAAGTTCTCTGGGACTTTAGACTTGAAACAGAGAAGCATCTGCCGCATAACACCCAGACTTTACAATTGTGAATAAGAAACACAAAAAAGTCTGAATAGTGGATGTTGCAGTTGCTGGAGAGAGTAGAATAAAAGAGAAAATAACAAAATATGAAGACCTGAAATAGCAGTAGAATAGTCATGGAAAAAGAAAGCAAAGAGCATCAATGGTAATACATGCCTTGGGTGCAATCCCAAAGCACCTGGAACACTACTTGAACAGCACTGGCATAGACAAAATCACCACCAGTCAATTGCAAAAGGCAGCTTCATTTGGAACATGGAACATGTTATATCCTGCAACGATATCAGATTCTCTGAAAGTACTTGATAGGTCGACAAAAATGCCAGAACATCTGGCTGACTGTATGACCAACAGTATTACTGTTGTATTACTGGGCACCCTTTTTTTTTGAACTATTACTCTCTGGCAGACAGTGCAGGATAACAAAACAAGGACAAATAGGTTGAAAAACAGCTTCTAAGGGCAATAACTATATTGAATTCTATGGTAAAGTGTAATATCGGGTTTTCAATTTCAATTATATAGAATGTAAAGGATGTATGTTTGTGTTTTTATTTTTATAGTTATAATGTACACTGAAGACAGCATTTAATTTCATTGTACCATGTGCAATGACAATAAAGTAAACTAAACTATAATATTACAATATTGTAATAGGGTCATAATTATATTATTCATTAAAATAATGGTAGATAACTGGAAAATTATTTAGGAGCAATTAAAAATCAGTTTAAGAACAAATCTTAAATCTATCTTAACGGTTTGCATTATAATTCTGTGTCTGGTTGATAATAGGTCTGCTCATGTCCAATTGGGTAAGCTTAGCTTTTCTTAGCTTTTTCTTCAAAATTACACTTTTAATTTATTTACTAAACTACTTTTAATTTTTTGCAGTTTAAACTAAAACTGAATTCAAAAAAAATCACACAAACTTTTCACTTATGTTTTATTGTCGTATGCAGACTTAAACTATGAATCCATTATTCTGATATGCATCGGTCCACTTAAAAAGTAATTATAAAAACATAGAATATTTTTGTTCATTTTCAGGGAGGGGAACACTGCTATTATCATGGAAGCATCAGAGGCATCCCAAAATCCAAAGCTGCTATTTCTACCTGTAATGGACTTCAGTAAGTATAATTACTAATAAATATCTCATTATATTGCTACTCTGAATCCTTTGTATTAGGCTGTTTTCCATACTCTATGTTTTGGACAGTGTCCCAGCAACTAAAAATATGACTTTTTTCATCCTTTCTTCCCCGTCATGGACACCTGCCCCATTGGCAGAAAGCTTCTTCCCCCATTAGTCATCATTTTTCTTATGACTGCAAGTAACCAGTGACCCAGTGTAATTGGAGAACAGCTAACTATTTGCTAATATGCAAATTTTAGAGAATTTAGGAGAGGGGAAAACCATTGTTGGTATAATTAAAGCATTAAGAGAAAAAGAAGATATTAGAGTGAAAGAAATGCTGATAAAAGGAGAAAATGTGTGGGACTTTTGGAAAGGCTTGTAGAGAGAAGTTGTTGAATGAGACTATAATTTGAAACAGGAAAGTATAAACCAACCCACCGCCAATAAATATGCTTAGTTAGATTTTGGGTGGCGATTGGGCAGCTGTGATATTATTACTATCAATTTTCTCAGCTATGCAGATAATTGGACAGAAATTAAAACATATAGAATGCTCAGTCTAGTGGTTTCCTCATAACAATGAGGTCTGGGAGATATTTAGAGAATATTGGCAGTTTGGAATACAGTGCTCTGTCTATCATTTCTCTCTCTCCTATCTATAATCTATATCTACCTACAGTCTGTCTGTCTGTCTGTCTGTCTGTCTGTCTATCTATCTATCTATCTATCTATCTATCTATCTATCTATCTATCTATCTATCATTCCAGTTATTCTGTATAAATATTTTCCCATGTACTCATGTCCACTTAAAACTACCTGTCACACTTTCTCAACTCCACCTGCTCCACAGGGTTGTTGCTCAGTGAGTGAGTGCTATGCACCAAAAAGATGGGCATAAGTCTAATAAATTGAAGCTGTGGTGGCTCAGAGGACTAGGATGCTGAGAAGACAATTTAGAGGTTGACAGCTCAGCAGTTCAAAACCTGAGAGTGAGCTACTTGATGGAATGGGCTCCCATCAATTTGTCCCAGCTCCTGCCGACCTAGCAGTTTGAAAGCATGCAAATGCAAGTAGGTAAATAAGTACCACTTCAGTGGAAAATAAAAGGGATATGAAAGGAGTCTCCTTGAGTGTCCTCTGGGAATGGTGATGTCACCAGCTAATCCCTTCAATTCGGAAATGTCTTGGTCGATGCTTCCTACCCAATGTTAGAAGAAATTTAGCAATGGAAAGAGTTACATTGGCCTCCTTATCTGCTAGTAAATATTACATAATAAAATTCTTCAATCTATCCCAGAAATGAAGAACTATTAGGAGCTCTTTGCTTATATTTCAATAGAAAATTACAGTATAAAGGTATATCAATTTGTGTTTCAATGTTACCCTCTTTACATGGACAGAGCCTTCTGCATACTGTATGAAATTTCCCCTCCAGCTCTGCTGATAGTATAATACAATATAATAATGTAAATGCACACCAGAATGTACTGTTTGTAAGTTGGTCTAGGTACAATGCTGCTTTGAAGTATGTATTGCTATGGCCCAATTATATCCTAGGTGAGAGTTTCCTATATTCTGTTTCTAATGCTATAAGGTAAAGGTAAAGATTCCCTTTGCACATATGTGGTAGTCGTTCCCGTCTCATCTCAGTTTCAAAGCTGAAGAGCCAGTGCTGTCCGAAGACCTCTCTGTGGTCATGTGGCCGGCATGACTAAATGCCAAAGGCCAATGGAACGCTATTACCTTCCCATCAAAGGTGTTCCCTATTTTTCTACTTGCATTTTTTATGTGCTTTAGAACTGCTAGGTTGGCAGAAGCTGGGACAAGTAATGGGAGCTCACCCTGTTACACAGAACTAGGGTTTTGAACTGCTGAACTGCCGACCTTTCGATCAACAAGCTCAGCATCTTAGCCACTGAGCCACTGCGTCCCCTTCTAATGCTATAGCAAGGATTTTTTGCTTAAGAATCCATTGTCTGATCTTGTCAGGGCATGAATATCTCCTTTGAAAATCTCAAAATAAACCTTTAACCAATTTGCTTATTTCCATCATTTCATGTTTTCTGATTGGACATTTTAGATATTTGTTTTTTCCCCCAAGGCAACTCATAGTAAATAAAAAACTTCTAAGCAGTCTCTGCTGTTAAAATTTTTGTTAAAAAAAAAAAAGACACGACATAGAAAAGGTGATTAGAGCTAAAAGTAAGAGAGAACTAGAACCGAATGGAAAGTAATGGATATAATTTCAGTCCAAGCCAAGCTGCTCTTCCTTTAGTATTATTTATTCTTATTTCAGCAGCAATTGATATCTCTTCTTTCTTCATTGATGGATGGTTGATTAGTCCAGTAGTGGGTTTCAAATCCCGGCACTACCGGTTCGCTATTGGTAGCGCGCAGGTGCACATGCTTACTTTGCAAGCGTGCGTCACTTCTGTGCATGTGCAGAGCATTTTTGATGATGACTGGGTGAGTGGACGGAGCCTCCCACTGCCGCTGCTACCGATTCTCCCAAACCGGGGCCAACCAGGAGCAACCCACCACTGGATTTGTCCCTATCTATCTACCAAAGGCCCAGTCCTCCTGCCCCTAGTTCCTGAGTCCCTCAGCAAGTGTCAGGAGGAACTGATGTGTAGGAAATAGGAAAACAAATTCCCTTTGGACTACTTTTTTGGCCAGATTAATTTACTTCATATCCTGTTGCTCTTTTTCTGAAGACAAGAACTGCAATATTCATTCATCACCAGTCAGTAGTTGTTGCCTTTGTAATAAGTAGAACATAAAGGATTTCATAGATAGCAACACAGCAAGCAGGTTGATTCTACTTACAAATTTAGATTTATAGATAGATCATGTCATAATTTCAAGTTAGCACACAAACAAGTAAAATTGTAAATAGGCTATTGACATATTGAATTCCTCTCTCATTATAAATCTAGGACTACATGTGGATTTGATTAAAAAATGGTGCTTTGGAGCAAACAAGGGTTGGACCCTGGGTTCAATTCACTCCCCCCCCCCCCAATCATTCCCTGTGGTTTTTTGGAACTATTTGAACTATTCATGAGTCTCTCATGTATACTTTCAAAGATGCTTTATCCTTCCTAATAGCAGCATAAACCATTTGTCATAATGTTTGTATTTTGTGTGGAATACATTAATATATAACCTGGAAATGTGTGGGAGTTCCTACAAATATATACTCCCGTTTACCTAATATTGAAGTATTTAAAATGTGTTTCTCATATTCTAGTGGCATGTTTGAAGACAATACTTATGTCTACCTGATAGAACCTTTGGAGTTAACTCACAGCACGGTATGTTAATACTGACCCATCTAGATCTTGCTTTGATTTGTTGTAAAAGATGCAAATCCTAACCAATATAAATTAAATAAGGCATTATTATTTAATCTGTAATATCATCTATAACACTGAATTTGAATGAATATTTTATTAGTTTTTTCTACCCTGTGTTTGATATATTTTGTAATTTTTTTAGAAACATAACTGTAGCTGAATATGTTATTTAAATGAGGTTAACCTGAATGTTAAACACACACACCACTCCTATAATCCTATAATAATGACATAATATTCAGGTAAACTAAGTGCCATGTAAAGCATTTGGGTTGTAGACATGAAATCTAAGGACAAACCAGCAAAGCTACATAAATTTTATTATATTTATTTTATCAATTGTTATGGCCACCCAACTCTGGGTAGCTAACATTTTGAAAAGAAAAAGGAAAAAACAAGAATAAAAGCAAAAAAAAAAGAGTAGAACTGAGGCCAAAATAGAGCCATATTCACATTCATAAACCATTGCAAGGCAGGCTGATCCAATGCACAACCTTTGGGAAGAGCCAGATTTTCAAAAAGCCAAGGCCAGACCATCTACATCTTGGGAGGAGTGTTATACTGTTCCAAAGGGCAGGCAGAGTGAGAGAGAAGGCATGCCTCCTTGGTTTCTCCAGATGACGTTGGGGGACCTGAAGCATGCCCACTCTTTCAGGGACAGAAAGAAGAAAAACAGTTCACAAATATAGCCATAACAAGGGAATGGATTTCATAAGCTGATATATTTAACTAGTTTATTTGTGTATAAAATATTTATGTTTTATGGTTCAGTTGAATATAGCATTTCTGTGAGGGGTTTTTTGGGTTTTAATGGGCCACGTAACCTCTTTTCATGCTTGGCCTTGGGATAGAATCCTGACTAGGATTTGAAAATTCAGCCCATTGTTACATAAGCATGTAGACTTTCATAAAGTCCCCAAACCAGTTTTTTTTTAATCTTCAGAGCCTCCAGGAATGTTTCCATTGTTTTCAGAAAATAATAGTGAAATGAAATGGAATATGAAATGAAAATGGCTTCTTTTAGGCTTAGACATTAAAAATAAAATTGAGCTGGTTCGATTAATTGTCTGTTTTGGTTTGATGTTCACCAAATAATTAATATATTAATTATTAATCATTCACTCTAAAGTGAAGAGGCTGTTCATTGGCAATTTTGATGGGACTCTTTCTGGAGACGCATCTAGGTGTTTCTTTTTCTCCATCTGGGAAACTAATTTCCTAGTTTTTGCTTGAGATAATTTAGAAAAATTGCAGAACTGTTGGGCTTTTCCACCACAGTAAATAATCTTGACCTCCTCCTCCTAGACTTCTTTCTAGAGATGTGTTCTAGTTCCAAAAATAACAGCAGATGCTAAAAATAACACTGCTTTTAAGAGCATCAAGGTAAGCTTTCATTATGATTTTCTTTAGTTATATAGAATATAGAAGTCTTTTCACTAATGGAGGTTTTTCCCATGAGGGAAGCAGGTTTTTTTCTCTCTCATCAGTTGTTATGCCATGTTGGTAGACTATGGATTATTACAGGATGCTATGCTCATCTTTCTAGGAGACAGAAGAATAAAGACATAAAGAAGACTGCAGCAAAAACTTCCTATTAAAAGAGTGTTTAATACATTTGATGGCAAAGTACATTGATAAGGGGTTAGGGCATTATCATTGTATATCTAAATATATGTGATTAGAACAACTGTAGGAAAGATGTACAACCTTTCTTTATACAATTCCAAAGGTTCTCAGATGTTTTCCTTCAACAGCCAATTATAGCTATTTGTTTGTTACTGAGTGCTAATAGATTGTTAGAGATAAGGGGTGTTTCATTATTTGAACTAGGTAACATCATCAGTGCACTGATGATGTTATGTAGTTCAGGTAATGAAATGTCTTTAAGAAAACAACCAAGCTAGGATCCCTCATTTCAACCCTGAGCTACAAATATTCTCATTTATTGATTGTTAGAGAATTAAATATGGAAAACTAAGTTTAAGGCATGGAATTATAATTTTAAGTTCCAATTGGAATTGACTTAGATTCCACTTTATATATTTGTAAAATAGCACCAGGAGAAGCATTAGAAGACTGAGGACCCCTCCAAAAACAACAAACAAAAGCTCAAACAAAAATATGGTTAGGGTCCACCCAAATAATAGCTAACTAGTAGGAGAGGAGTTCAGTCCAGTTGCATACTTGGTGAACATCCAAAGAGAAATATTCCACAGTTCAAATTGTATCATTCAAAAATACCATTTCAGGTTTCTACATACACATGCTAAATTCTCTAGCGGTCTGTATTATATACATAAAGATTTATTTATTTATTATTTATTATTAGTTCAATTTATATGCTGCCCTTCTCCGAAGACTCAGGGCAGCTTACAATGCACTTATAGCAATAGCCTTCATTCTTTTATATATACCTGCTTATTAGGGCTTTTGCAACCCCCCTCAAGCGGTGTTCTTTTTTATACAAAGTCAGCTTATTGCCCCCACAATCTGGGTCCTCATTTTATCTACTTCGGAAGGATGGAAGGCTGAGTCAACCTTGAGCCTGGTGAGATTTGAACTCACACTAATTGCAGGCAGCTGGCTGCTAAGTGCTACATAACAGCACTTAGTCCGCTGCACCACCAAGGCTCTTCTAATTTAATATTTAAGATATTACATTGAACACACACACACACACTTACTCACCCCTCACCCATTATGGATAAGCCAAGAATTTTAGGTTTCAAAATACATCCCCGAAACAGTTCAGCTTATCCATTATATGTTATCTATCTGTCTGTCTCTGTCTACCATCCATCTATTTACCTGTCTGTCTATCCATCTAGATGACAATATCATGCTTGAATTTATGTCACCAATACAATATTCTATTTGTTTTCTTTTTCTTCTTCAGAGCAGTGCAGGTAGACCACATGTCATTCGGAGAACATTTGGATCAAATGCCTTCAGTCAGTTGGAAGATCTTGGTACGATGTAACTGTACTTTAATAAGATTTGTTACTATAACTATATAGACTCCATAAATCTTTAAATAATTTAAATGGCACTTCTACCAGAGGAATTATTAGTATAGTTAACAGAAATTTATATAGTAGTATGTCATGATATAACAGAAAATACTCAGTTTCCATGTGGAATTAGATAATCAGTGTAATTACTGTTGCTAACAGCCACTTTTCTAGATACACAGTTCTTTGTGACAAGCTTATAGTTAGACTAATATAATTATTAGAAAGCTCTTTACTCCACCATATCATTGAAATTGTGTGGCCAATTTATACGATGATGTGATATTGAAGATTAACTCTCTGAGTGAGTTGTCCTCTATACAATGAAATAAAATGAGCAAACTCCACATATATCAAACTGAGACTTAAAAATTCATAATTAAGACTGACACCATTTTTTTCTGTAAGAACACTATAAACAGCACATTTTCCAAATAATAACATATCTATTAGGGTACAGTATATATAAAACTGGCCTTATATTTTCCTTTGATAATGCCAGCTGCTCAATTGCTCCCAAATTGCAACTGTAATTTGTATACAACTTTCACAGTAATCCCTATGTTTACAATGAAATTCTTTTTACAAGAAAGGAAATAGTTAACTTATCAACCCATAATCATCATATTACATGTTGCTGGTGACTGCTTTCACTGGAATATGCAGGATGTTTGAAATGAGAAGCGTTTTAAATTTGTTTTTTTCTAGAAGGCTGATTATATGCAGAACGAATACTATCAGAAGTAATCAGAGATAGGATTGACACTGTGAACAGTTTGAATAATAGTTTATCATCTCATCATTATCAACTCAGTCATTTGGAGATGAACTTTCATTTCGGTAAATACAGTTGAGGACTGAATGCTAAACTGGGTTTAAAGTAACTTGAACATGTTGGCTAAAATTAGCAGATCTAAAACAAAGGAAAGTTTTACCAATATAAGGGGAAAGGGCCAATATGTTTCATTAGATAAAGGTACAGATGCTATGTGATAAAATAGAAAATTCTTTGCTATCAATCTCTAGATACCGATTCCACATCTGATTGGTCCTTCCTGTCTGAGTTGCAGTGGCTAAGAAGAAGAAGAAGGGCTGTGAGTGTTATGACATCAGTAATACTGCATCAGATCAAAAGATCTCTTTGCTTTTAAAAGACATGGGAAAACATGTGAAATGTAGTACTGTATTAGACCTCAGCTTTCATGCTGAAGTGATTTGTACTGCAGGAGATCATTTATTTCACCTCACATTTTTTTTCATTTCAAACAGCAAATTGGTGAAACTGACATAAATATAAATCATTGAACAAACAGCAGGTACATAGGTAGGTAGGTAGTAGGTAAGTAGATAAAATTACTCAGTTACTCAACTGAGTAAAAAAGAGATCCTCTTATTGTTTATAGCAGTATTTAATTATATACACTTTAATAGGGGCAAAGGAAATCTATAGGAAAGATGGAAGGTGGGAAGTACCGTACCATGAATTATGTTGGAGAATGTCGACTGCTACAAGAAATAATTACATGTTTATGAAAACTGTTTTTAAAGATTAAATAGTATTAATTTTATTAATAGAAATATAAATTTTATATGTAGTCATCTACAATTAATTATTTTTCAAGATTGGGGATCTTGATCCCCAATTTGTGATTGAAATAGTTGAGCTAAGTAATAAAATGCTGCTGTTTGTGTGACATGGATTTAAATATCAACAAAAAATAAACCTTTTTGAAGAAAAATAATATTTAGAAACAATGATCTATTAACTGAAAATCAAATCTGAAAACACTGTCATTTAAAGAATGAATGGTTTGAATTCTTATGAATGCAAATAAATTGTTATGCACAGTCCATTTCTGCAACTGGTGAGAAGTTCAAGAGAATTTGGCTTTCTTTCCATCAGTAAGAGTGCCTATGTAGCATTTTGTGATATTCAGTTTATTTGCAAATATAAAGATACCTGTACTTCTGGTCAGAGATTCCAAAATCTATATGTGATTTTGAAAAAGAGACCCAGTATCACAAAGTACAATGGCAAAGAAAGAAAAGAAAAAGAAAGAAAGAAAGAAAGAAAGAAAGAGAAAGAAAGAAAGAAAGAAAGAAAGAAAGAAAGAAAGAAAGAAAGAAAGAAAGAAAGAAAGAAAGAAAGTTAATTAGTTTACAACTTGATCATATTCCCAACCCTCCTGGGAAGGCTACAGCCAATAAATTGCATATATTTTGTTAACTTTTGTGCAATATGGACTCTGAATGGCTCAGAGTGGAACAAATCAGAATTTAACACAAACTCAAACACTGTGATATTGGACAGTTATAAACATACAAATAACAAAGAAATGGAAAATCGTCATATCAAACCTGAAAAGATGTTATTTACGTATTTATTAATATTTATTAATCATATATCTCATCTTTATTTGACTAGAACTCAAGAGTCATATACACTGAATTCCCAGGTTGTTTCTGATTAGATTCAATTATGTTTTGTTTCAGGAAATTAACTGCATCATATGCTTTCATATCACACCCTGTGACAATGTAAAACTTCACTTAAAAGTGAATTGATTAACTATTAGCAGAAAAAGATTCACACAACACTAAAGATGCAAAACTATATCAGATTCTGTATGGTACAACAATATGGGATAGCTGTGCTTGTCCCAGTCTTTGTCATGTGCTCATTGTGTAAGTTGTACATTATATAAGTTGACCCTTCTTGAACATACATGTGCAGTAATGACAAAACATATGAAGTTTCACTGAGTCAGACCACTGAGTCTATTTAGTCAGTATTCAGAGAATTCTTCATCCTTCATAGGTATTCATTACCTGCCCCCGTAGAGGAAGTAGCTTTCATATGGGTGGCGGGGAGAGGTTATACTTTTTTCTAAAGTTGAAAACCCTTGCTGGGGTATCTGATAGCAATTCGGTTTTTGAAAGTATCTTTGTCATGCTCATTGGCCTTAATGAAATTCCCACCCGACAACATGGCAGGACTGATTTTAACCTATCATCTGAAGCAGTGGCAAAACCTTTTAAAAATATAATTTTTATAATTAAAACGAGAAGTTGTAAAAAACAAAAAAACCCCAAAAATTGACTTTTGTATCCCCAAAGAATTTTCCCCCTCTTTTCATTTTGAAAAAGACTGAAAAAAGATTGAGTTAGATATCCCCCAGTTAAATTAATACAATATAATTTGTTCTTAGGCTTTGGTAAAACAGACTTAAGAACACAGTGCGAGTTATCACGACAAACAGTATAGCAACCTATTCTTTTTTAAATCTATTCTTTTTATAATTTACAGGCAGTGCGTGGCATCTTTGAAGAAATGAAATACTTGGAGCTCATGATTGTTAATGACTATAAAATGGTAAGTTGATTCTATTAGTTATTTCTATTCTTTTTCATAAAAGTTCATTGTGAAAAATGCATACACACTTAATGGTTGAATAAAGAATTAAGGAATGTGCAACAGGAAATTCTTGAAATAAGACTACATTATGGGTATCATAACAGCCAGGCTTGTATTATTTGATGCCTCCATATCCAATGCTATTTCCAGAAGCGCATCTAGGAAAGACCACAAAGTTGATTCATTTTGGTCCATTTATTTGTCTTTATCAAGGCTTGGTTCAACATTACATCTGTCATGCAATTAAAATTATGTGAGGGGGCTAGAAGGACCACAGTCATATTCTCTGCCTGCTCTATCCTATCCTACATGACTTGTCTCCATATCTATGAGGGTTTCAGGAGTTCAAAATAATTATACTCTTCATGCAAAGGCCAGCCCTACCGTTAATCAGGGTGATACCTCATGTGAAACCAATGCATATAGCAGAGATTCCCTGTCTTAATAGCTACTTCTCAAATGTCTAAAACTGCTGGTATTAAAGCAATACTGAGTTGAGGTAATCTAAGTTGACACTGAGATATAAATCAGGAAGTGCCTGATTATTTTGTTTGCCAATTATTGTAGGCAAGAAACCTCATTTTCAGCCTCAGATTTCCATCTGCAATATGGTAATAATAGTACTGATAAAAAAATTCTGTCAGGATTGCTCCAGTGTCTTTCTATGAGGTCAGAAATTTAATGATATTTGTACATGATGTTGGAAATTCATCATGTTTATTTATAATCTGAGAGTACAATGTTTGGAGAGATCTGTTCTGGATTTTTTTTAACCCTTTTGTCCAAAGATTAATAAAATATATTTCCAGATGGGGAACTATTTTTTTCATTTGTTGTGTCCCAGTGATTTTGCATGGATTGTTTAGATCAGGGGTGTCAAACTTCTGGGCTGCCGGATGCATGACATGCTGACCACGCTACCCCCGTTTTAGCAAAGGAGAAAAAGTTGTGATATGTCACGTGACGACAACATGTTGTCATGAGTTTGACACTCCTAGTTTAGATAGTCAAGGAGTCAAGACTGACCCAAAGGCACTATATATATAAATAAGCTGATAATAAGTAATTAATGTTAACAGGCTTCATTTATAAGAAGAGTTTATTTATTTTTGTGAATAAAACTTTAATAGTAAACTTTCTGCAAGATAGCAGATATTTAGTTTTCTTTCTATTATTGCAAATTTAAGACAACTAAGTACAGTCTTCTTCACAGAACATTTTGTACTTGAAATAAAAGATGCATTGAGTTATGTGCCACAGAAGGCTTGCAATCAATAATTTTAATTATAAGGGGATGTTATTGTAAATTCATGTTTTATGCTATTGTTTATGCAATTGACCTTTATCAATACAATGCAAAAATGTTCAAAGAGAAATATTACTGGGGTTGTTTCTTTTTTTGGCTTTGCCAGGAAGCAATGAAGTATAATCAATGTTTCGATTGGATTATGACTTAACATTTTTCTTCTAGTTCAAAAAACATCGGTCATCCCATAGTAATACGAATAACTTTGCAAAATCGGTGGTAAATCTCGTGGATGCTGTAAGTATTGCCATAGTCAATAAAATTAATAATACTGTATTCAATTCAATAGGGAATGATAAACTGAAAAGGCAACCATTTGTCCCATAATTCTTTTTATAATAACAAAAACTGATTTACATCAATTGCAGACTTGTGGGTCTAAATCCCAATTTCTATATTAGCCAAAGTTTGTAGAACTACAAAAAAATCTTTGAAAAGAATCCTTACTGTAGTGTAGCAAGGGGGGCAAATGGCATTGCCTAAGTCATGATGTCACCATGCAGTGGATATAAATTGCACAATTTGTATCATTTGTGTGATGTCTTGACGCATATGATGTAATCACAGCTTCAATGAGATGTCCACACATATGTACTAAAAAGAAACGAACCCTTGATCCTAGAAAGAAACATTCACTGTCCTCTGAGAATGCAGAGAAAAGAAATCCATGATTTCTTTTATTATTTTAAAATTATTTTCTTTGAGTTTTACAGAAGGTATTCTTTCCTTTGGGAGGTTATAGAATCACAGTTTCCTGTTTGTTTTGTTTGTTTTGTTTTATTAAATTTGTATACCGCCCTACTCCCGAAGGACTCAGTGCGGTGAACAGGCACAGAATAAAATACAGAAATACATAAGTTAGAAACAATTTAAAACCAAATTAAATAATTTAGCCCAAGACAATTAAAATCCCAATAATTTAAAACAAATTAAAATTTCAGTTTAAAAATTTAAAAGAAAGGGGAGAAAAAATTAGGCCAGGCCGGCTTGCTGGAATAGGAGGGTTTTAAGAGCACGGCAGAAAGTGCGCAGATCCGGGATCCTCCATATCTCTGGGGGGAGCTCGTTCCAGATAGTGGGTGCCCCCACAGAGAAGGCCCTTCTCCTGGGGGCCGCCAGTCGACACTGCTTGGCTGATGGCACCCGGAGGAGCCCCTCTCTATGAGAGCATACCGGCCGGTGGGAGGCTGTTTGTGGTAGTAGGTGGTCCCGTAAATAACCAGGTCCTAAGCCATGGAGTGCTCTAAAGGTGGTAACCAAAACATTGAAGCACACCCAGAAGACCACCGGGAGCCAGTGCAGCTCGCGCAGGAGAGGTGTCACACGGGAGCGCCATGTTGCTCCCATAACCACCCACGCGGCCACACTCTGCGCCAGTTGGAGCCTCCGGGTGCTCCTCAAGGGGAGCCCCATGTAGAGAGCATTACAATAGTCCAGGCGGGAGGTGACGAGGGCATGAGTGACTGTGTGTAGGGAGTCCCGATCCAGAAAGGGACGCAACTGGAGAATCAGGCGAACCTGATGAAAAATCCTCCCAGTCACGGCCGTCAAGTGCTCTTCTAAAGACAGCCGTGAATCCAGGAGGACGCCCAAGTTACGAGCCCACTCCGTGGGGGGCCAGCGATTTGCCCCCTGTAATGCTATCCTGTGTAGCACCTTGCACTTGAAAGCTGCCAGTGCTGAAAATGAATAAATAAATCTTTAAAAAAGAAAAGACAGAATGCCAAGAATAGACCCTATCAATGAACTCTTTGAAAAACTGCCTTACAGTGCAGGCAGCTATAGATGCCACTTCCACACAAGCTTTCTTTAGAGCTTGATAAATGCAGTGTATTGAATAAGCCGTCTCACAATGCTAGATATTTTTCTTCCAGTGTAACAAACACTTCAGTTTTTTGTGCAGATAAAGACTATCTAGATAAAAAAAATAGAATTATTTTGTGAACATCCATGGTGCCCATTCTAGTCCTGTTATGAAATGAGCCTGACAGAATGAAGATAGGAACAATTCTTTGAAAAAAAACGAAACCAAGGGTTATTTGTTTAAACAGAAAATGTATCTGTGATGTTACCTTGTTGTGCAAAATACACAACTGGATCACAGGATATACTTACCTACCTACCTAATGAAGATTATGATTGCTAGAGATACAGTTTGAAGAATGAGTGATTTTATTGAAGAGGTATTCATGAATTCAAGCAGAAAAAAACAAGAGTTCTGAGCTTTCAGTTAAAGATGTTTGCTGTAATAACGAATTGTTGTTGTTCTGCTCACTTCAGGCACCCAGATTCAGAATTATTAAATTTGAAGTGTATGTTCTTATAATTAAAACAAAAACAAAATCTCACAATCATGAGGTCTGTCCATTCTCAACTGTTTTTATGATTTCCTGCCACAAACTATATAGTAAATATTACATACTCATGTACTGATAATTATGCAGTCTTTTGTAGTATTGACATTACTGTAAATTTAATGGAGTATTGATTATTAGGGAAGTATATTATCTAATTATATTCCAATGTTTCTCTCCTACTTTACCCTGTTTGTCTTTCCACTGATTGATTGGCTAACTGTGCATGTTTGACCCAGTGTTCCATTCCTGTGCTTGTCCTGTCTCTCCCCACAGATTTACAAGGAGCAACTAAACACCAGAGTTGTTCTAGTTGCTGTTGAAACCTGGTCAGACAGAGATCGTATTCATGTCCACTCAGACCCACGGCAGATGCTTCATGATTTTTCCCGATATCGACAGAACTTCATCAAGCAACATGCTGATGCTGTACATCTCCTCTCGTATGTAAAAAGAGGCGAGATGGTCTGGTCCACTGTTCTTCTTAAGAGACTTAAGGATCTGTAGTCATTTCATCCTCAGGTGTTATTAAATATAGCACCTCTTGACTCACCCAATGAATTACGAGGATTAGCCAAAATCCTTTTAGAGCCAAAATTAAAACTGCTTTTCACAGAGTCCAAGAATTATTTCTATATAGTACAGGGATATATCTTATTCAGAAAAATGTTATCTCAGTTAGGAAACCTTTTTCTGGGTAAGATATTTTCCTTACCCAGAAAATATCTTATATTCTCTCACTTTTACATTTTTACTCATTTATTTCTTCCTATGACATCTTCTAAAATTGGAAATAAATTAATTAACCCTAGCCAGTTTGGTGTAGTCATTAAGGTGCTGGCCTAGAAACTAGTAGACTATGAGTTCTAGTCTCACCTTGGGCACAAAAACTAGCTGGGTGATTTGGGGCCAATTATTCTCTCAGCCCAACTCACCTCATAGGATTGTTGTTATGGGGAAAATGGGAGGAAGGAAGAATATTGGGTATGTTCATCACCTTGAGTTATTTATAAATATTGTAAAGGCAAGATAAAAAACAACACAAGGTCACTTGACATAGAATTACTATGAGTATCCAATATATCTGAGAATATTCTGCTTCAGTGACATTAAAGAAACTGAATAAAAGAACCCCATGTTCTCATAATTTATATTCTATTTCATTTGAAGATAATGATATTAATATTATTTTTTTATCTGTCTTTTTCTGAAGGAATGTGACATTTCATTATAAAAGAAGTAGCCTAAGCTATTTTGGAGGAATTTGTTCGGTGGCTAGAGGGGTTGGAGTAAATGAGGTAATAGTTCTGTTTTGAAGAAATGTATTTATTTATCCAATTCATAAAGTCTCATGAATATATAAGAAGTACTTGATTATTGACCACTCATTCAGCAACTATTCGAAGTTGCAAAGACATTGAAGCATAGTGGAAGCTGGCAGGAATTCAGAAGTCACTTCCAATGCATTTTACCTGCCTGTGGTCATTCTGTTCATTGGTTTAGATAAGAACATATCTCTGAGATGACCCAATAGGTCATGGATCATCAGTAAATAAATATATATAATGTCTTTGGAGATTCTCAGTCATCCAGGTCATGACTGTCCTAAAGGTGCTTTTTTAAAAAGGCAAATGGACTTTCTCTCCTAGGATGTTCTTGGATGAGAAGCAAAACATCTTCATGGAAAAAACAAAGTCCAGTTGCCTTTTGAAAAAAGCATCTTTAGGACAAATAAATATAAAATACTTTCCCCCCCCACTATATTGTCCTTTGTTGGCCTGTTTTTTTGTTTTCTTTCTTTTCGGTTATTATATTTATACTTTTCTGTTTATATTTGATGCCTCATCTGCTCTTTCTATCCTTCAAATACTTGAAATCCTTATTTCTATCCTTCAAATACTGTGAAATCCTTATTTCACAGAGTAAGCCTATTTCTAATAGCAGTATGGGAAGGCCAATTCTGGGAGGTTATTCTCCAAGTTAATTCTATTTCTTCTCACTTCTCAGGACAAAGTTCATTTATGATGGTTTAAATTCTAGAAAAACGTGCATTTGTTGTATACTAACAGAATCAGTGTTGCATGTACTTAGAAATAAACTCTTAAATTAGTAAGATATTTCCACAGAAATGTTAGTATCTAGCTTAAGTTATATACAAAAGAATATAATATTTATTTATGGTCACTGACCAGAATTGCAAACAGAAACATTAAAAATAAAGTAAAAGAAAACAAGATAAAAATGTCTACAACATTTTGTGATGGAAGCTTTATGTTAAATTTATAATAATCTGCATTTATCTTTTTTTTTTCACCCTAATTTAATTGAGATTGATATTTTTTCCTAATAGTATGGGCTTTCCTGGGCAATAGCACAAGAATTGTCCCAAAGCTTGGCTCAGAATCTAGGAATACAGTGGGAGCCGGCATCCAGAAAACCAAGTACGTGCTAAGTCTCCTGGTATCAAACTAAATGTTTGTATAGTTTTATATTCTCTAAATAGAGCTAACTATTTTGTTGTCTAAGAATCTTTTAAGTCAATTCAAGCAATTAGATTTCTCTGCCCATGTAACATTTTTGGTCATGCATGCTCATGGAAACAATTTATCTATTTAGTCACTAGAAGTCAAAAATAATTTGATGGTACATAATCACTTAATCAATCATGCATGTCTATGTATTCACACACACCCACACATATCTATAGTGTCTTAACTTTTTCTTTGTTGGGAAGAGATTAGTTTACTCATTGCAGTCTTTCAGATGTGAATGTGGAATTCCTTTATGCTTATAAGATATATTATTCAAAATGCAAAGATGTGAAGAGTGAAAATACTGTACTTACTGTATTTGTTGTCTACTGTGTATTTTGTTGTACATATTGGCAACTAATTTTATTCTTTTCCACCTCCTCCCTCCCTCCCTCCCTCCCTCTCTCTCTTTCGTTTATATCGTTTAAGAAGGGTGTGATTGTACAGAATCCTGGGGTGGATGCATCATGGAGGAAACAGGGTTTGTGGTGATAATTAATTCTTTTACACAGTTCAATTATTGTTTACATTTTGCTCAGGCCAAATTAAAAAAATAATGTAGTTCATAAGAAGAAACACTTATTCATCTTATTGTTTTCTGTTACCATAGAGGGGAAAAATTATTTCAATCAATTTTTTAAAAACCTATACAAAAAAACCCCCTATGCATGTGAATTTATTTTACAAATAATTGTTTTTTTAAAAAGTCAGATAATTTTTGACTTTAAAGTCTTGCCTGTTTTTCTTATTTTTCTTTTCATGACCAAAAATTAGAGAAGGTCATAAGAAATGTGTATAATTTTAAAAGTAAATAAAACAAGTTTAAATCAGAAACCGTGTCAGATTACATAACTTGTTTTTCCTTACTTGGTTATTGTAGTGAATAACGCCTTATGCTACCATTTGTCTCTCTGTGATATCAACCACACTACAGTGTCAAGTGAATTCAATTGAATATTGATTTGTTTGATGAAAATTTCTAAATGTTCACTTGTGTATTTCTCTATTCTGATTTGTATAAACACAATTGAAAAATAAATGATAATTAGGACTTGAAAGTAAGCTTCAATAAATTCCTCAATTCCTCAATAATGGAGCTTCAGTAATAGATAAAAGCAATTACAATAAAAATGGGGGGGGGGGGTGTAAGATTACTTTTCAAATCACAGACACCAAATTTTCTGTGACTTTTTTAAAGAGCTCAGTGAAAGAGCTTTGTTTAAAATAGCTAAGGCCAATTTAAATACTTGGAGGAGAAAAGTCATAGGTAGGGATCACTATTAACATTTTATTATTTATGGTGGTACAAATTTGGTCTTTCCAGATAGGACATTGATCATTACAAGAAGCATTTTAAATTTATCCTTGAAATAAACTGAGAACAAAATAAAATGACATTTAATTGATAAAACATCATTGCTCAGTTGTTTCTACAAATTTCATGATGGCTGAATTCTATAGAAAACAGTATTTCCAAAGTATCTTCAAAGTCAGTCCAAAATACAGAATATTTCAGTTGTAGTTTGCCAGCTTGCACAGAAAGATATAGACAATTTAATTGTTTTTCAAAGTGTCAAAACAAAACTCTAAATAAAGATTACAAATATTTATGTTTGGTCAAAAAAGCATCCTTTCAGATAGGGAGTGAGAAGCTTAATCCGGTTTGACTAAACATAGTGTCCCTGTTTGTCTGAAATGGAATACTATCCAAAACCTATGTAAAATATGAAAAGGCTACTTTAAAATTTTGAATTGAACTATTAATATCTGCTGCAAAAGTATACTGCTCTACTGATCTATTTGCTTTCCAAAAAACCCTAGATATTTCTTTATGGCTGTGCTATGAACCATTTCTCTAATATTTTGCTGTTGTTTTGTTACAGTGTCTATCACCCCAGAAAATTCTCAAAGTGCAGCATTGCTGAATACAGAGATTTTTTACTCCGAGGAGGAGGTTTTTGTCTTTTCAACAGGCCTACAAAGGTGCACCCCTTATAATCTTTTATAAGGAAGGTAGCAAACTGGGTGATGGTACATTTTGAGTGGATTGGGAAGGAAATGGAGGAAAGAAAGGGGAGAAATGTCATCTCTAATTGTATACTATAGGTATACTATACTGTACTATAGGTACTATAGGTAGTCAACATATGGCCACAATTGGGATCAGAACTTCTGTTACTAACTTCTGGTCACATTAAATGAGTCACATCTGATTTTTGCTACAGTTGTTAAGCAAACTGTACTGTTGTTAAGCAAATCATGTCATCATTAAGTGAATCTGGTTGCCCCTATTGACTGCATATCAAAAGCTCCCTGGGAAAGTCGATAATGGCAGTTATGTCACCCTGAAATGTTGCAACTATCATGAGTATATGTTTGTTGTTAAGCACCCAAATTTTGATCACATGACTATAAAGATGCTGCGATGGTTGTAAGTGCAAGGAAGCAATCATAAGTCACTTTCTTCAGTGCCATCATAACTCCAAACAGTCATTAAATAAATGGTTATAAGTCAAAGACTACTGTAACATTCTTGCTCTAACTTACACCTAGGTTTAGCATAATAACAGAAAATAAATAAATAATAAATTTCGTTTGTATTTCAACTTAGTTTAGGACCTTCAAGTGGTTTCTTCCTCACCGCAGGATTTTAACCTCACAACAAAACTGTGGTGAGACCCACAATTGAGTGGGAATTTGACTCTGTGTGATCAACTTCATCTGTGATGATAGAATACAATGAAAGCTAATATGTATCTATGATTGACAAATGTGTTAATCCTGGTCAAGATCATTACATAGTTTGTGATTTTTGTTTGCACAATGTTTATGTATAATATGGACACTATAGCTTGTTCAAAAGCTCTAGGTTTTTTTTAGCTAAATGTTATGCATTGTAAGGATGTAAGAGTAACATACAGTATAAATATCATCCTTTAATCCTTTAACCTAAAGGATGAGGAACAATTGCTATCTCTTGTACTGTCCAAACTCCATGCCCATATTCTCTTTTTTGTTTGACTGTCATAATGCTCCTTTTGTGAGTGGGCAAATATTTCCCTGTGGGAACTATAAAGCTCTCAGAATTGCAAACTGGCCTACTGGTATAGACTTTGAATTAATGTTAGTGTGATAGAATTCAGACTTAACATTTCTAGCTAAAAAGAACAATCATGAGAGGGATGATTAAAATCTCAGCCTCACAAAATCTGCTGTTATTCACCTTTGTTCTAATCTGTGCATTAAGATTAGTATCATTTAGGGATGAGCTGTCTCTTAATTCAGTCAAATTCACAGTCTTTTGTAAGTGCAAATAATACAAGGTATAGAGCAGTGATGACTAACCTTTTCCGGACCAAGTGCCTAAAGCGTGTGCCCGAACTCCTAAAATGCAATGCCCCGCGGCCCCTTGCATGCGCCCCACCACCCATGCTCACCCCCTGCACATGTGCACACGGCTCCCCTCACGTGTCCTGCCCCCCTGCATGCATGGCAGACCAGCTGGCTGGCAGGAGGGCGCGCGCACATGCACAGTGGAGCTGAACTGGAGTGACGGCTTGTGTGCCATCAGAGAGGGCGCTGCGTGCCACCTCTGGCATGCGTGCCATAGGTTCGCCATCAGGGGTGTAGAGGAAGAATATTGCCCTGGTAGCCTTATGTGTTACATATTCTCATTTATCAGAGAAATTTCACTTTGTAACAGATATAAAACTGAACCAACCCTGCAATTATATCTAGGAAGTAAGAGGGTTTTCAGGAGTTAAGCTTTATTCCCAAAGCACAAGATATCTTTGCTTTGGGTTCAAGAGCATTCACTGAACATACTTAACCTCCAATACTCTCATCTTTGAGAGGCAGGTGCTTTAAACTTTTAGAGGCATTCCTACTTCAGCATTCCTATTTTTATCACATGAAAGTACTCCTGGCTTTGATAAATTGCAGGAAAGAGGAAAAAAATGGCTACTCAGATTGGATATCAGTGCTATTTATTCAATAAATTAGATACAGTAAGGAAAAGAATGACAGAAGTAACTGGACCACATTCCTAACTCCTTTTAAGATAGATATTACTATCTTTACTCAACATCTAGTTGGATGTCCAATCCATCCAAAGAACAGAAAATGGTAGAGCCAGATAAATATAGCGAGAGGAATAAGTTCCAGTTCCTCTGAAGTTTTGCTCTATATTAAATTAAATTATTCCTGAGAAAAACCTCTAGCAGAAATCTGATATTCATTTTTAATAATCAGCTTCAGAACAGTAATGCATAAGTATTCAGCACTTAAATACCGTGTTTCCCCAGACCCTGTCTTATATTTTTTTGAACCCCGAAAAAAGCGCTTGGCCTTATTTTCAGGGAGGTCTTATTATTTTGGGGCACGTTGAGCAAGAAGGGGATCCTCTTGCCCTCTTACCTGATTTCCAGCTCTGTCTCCCTAACCCTTACCAGAAGAAATGGCGGGGACCGGCTGCGCATGCGTTTAAATATTTTTGGGGAGGGTTTATTTTTGGGGGGGTATTTAGTGCATGCGCTCAAAAGCCCGATTGGGCTTATTATCAGGAGATGTCTTATTTTCAGGGAAACTGTATATACTTGAATCTTTTAATGGTAGTTAGATCATAACATTTTTTCTTAAATGTGTGGTTTTTTTCAGTTGTTTGATGCCACTGAATGTGGAAATGGGTATGTGGAACCAGGTGAAGACTGCGACTGTGGTATCCAAATGGTACTATTTTCATCTTAAAATGAAAGCTTAAAAGTATATAATTACTGATAAGGTGCTGTTCATTGTCATGCGGCATAAAATAATAAAGAAGGAAATGATGGAAGAGGTTTTTGACTTCTTCTATTCCTGCACCCACTCCCTTTGAGATCATCTGAGCAGGAGTGGAAATCATCAGAACTCTTGTTTGGAGAGTTCTCTTTTGCTTGGTATAAGGCTGAGCAGAATGTTAATTCTAATTTTCATACTTTCTTACTTTGCATTTCTTTCCTAATTAATCAGAGCTATGTTTCTGATCCTTACTTAGTTTATATACATAAATATTTTAACTTAGTGGCATATTCCAATATTAAAATAATAATCTTGCAGTCTGGGCTGAGGGGATTCTGAAATCCCCTTCAGAAAAACAATCAGTATTTTAAATGTTATTTATTATATTATTTTGATTCAACATTCTATAATATATTTGGTACATAACATAACTTATACTAGGTGGCTGTTGATATGATATTACAAGTAGTCCTCAATTTACAACCACAATTGAGCCCAAAATGTCTGTTGCTAAGCGAGACATTTGTTAACTGAGTTTTGTCCCACTTTATGACCTTTTTTGCCACAGTTGTTAAGTGAATCGTTGCAGTTGTTAGATTAGTAACATGATTGTTAATAGAACTTGGCTTCCCCATTGACTTTGCTTGTCAGAAAGTCACAAAAGGTGGTCACATGACCCCAGGACCCTGCAACCATCATAAATATGAGTCAGTTCCCAAGCATCTGAATTTTGATCATGTTACTATGGGGATGCTGCAGTGGTGATAAGTGTGAAAAACGGTTATAAATAATTTTTTTTGTGCCATTGTAACTTCGAATGGTCACTAAACAAACTGTTGGAAGTCAAGGACTACCTATATTCAGTACAGGGATATTATCAATTTCAGCCTCTGAGAAGCATGTTAGATTGTGTCAAGGTACAATTCTAATAAATCAATACATTTTAATACGGAAACATGTCACTGATTTTGCAAATGTGTACCTATAAGCAAGGAATCATGTATGCAAATGTAGACATCTATCCATGGACAGTGCTTTCTATACTGTTTTTCCACTGTAGCCACTGGTGCAATTTCAGACTTGAAATTGGAGGATCTTCTACCACTTGACAATATAATCTAAAAGTGCACTGTAAGATCCTAGGGAAAGGACTCACCCCTTCTCCATTTTGCACATAAAGTTCAGTCAGCAGAAGTGAATCACTGAATTTTTGTGTTCAGCTTTTATCATTATTATTTATAATTAATATGTTACTGTCCAAAAAAAGTTTGGAAACATATTGGCTCTTGGATCGGCTGATCAATATTAATTTGGCAAATTCAAATAATATTCCCAATCTCTTGTCATTTGGGACTGAAAAGGTCCATTTTTTGTTTTCGTTCTCGTTGCCATATATTTTGACGGCTAGGATGGTCTACTGAGTGGTCTGGCTGCCAGCAGTTGCTAATTTGTTTAATTCACGTTGTGGCGTTATCAAGGGTGCATCACAAGGAGGCAAACTAGCTTCAAACCCCACATCAAACTGTAGATCACATCATGACTGGCTATAAGCTGAGGACATATACCAGTATCTGGGTTTTTTTTTTTAATTTAAACCATGCTGCGCTTAAATGGTTAGATAGCCTAGACATTGGCATTTGAACATAAAACACATATTTTATTGTGTTTTACTAATCTAGGTGAAATGTTAATATATGTTATAGTCCATGTATGGTATGCCGTATGCCAAATAAATAAATAATAATTAATATACTGTATATTTTTTTAGGACTGCCATGCAGAGTGCTGTAAAAAATGTTCCCTTTCTAATGGAGCTCATTGCAGTGATGGTCCATGTTGTAATGAAACCTGCCTTGTAAGTTATTTTAATTGCATCTTTACTAAGTGGCACTGAATTAGAAAATGTAATTACATAAGATAAAAATAAAAAACACAGATCTACTATTAGGAACAAAGGGTCCTGGGCAGAGAGGTACCACAACTTAACTCTGTCCATTGAAAATCATATCATTCCTCCTCCCTCTCTCCCCCCCCCCCCGGTTGCTTTCCTCCCAGAGAATGAAAATGATACTTACATATGATTTTTTCACCCAATAACCGGCTAAGATTTTTATTAAAAAGTCTTAGATGCTTGGTTGTTCCTTGACTGTTTTTTAACTGAAAATCTTTTGACTTTCAGTTTTTTCCACGAGGCTTTGAGTGTCGCTATGCAGTGAATGAATGTGATATTACAGAAATCTGTACTGGTGATTCCGGCCAGGTAATGACATAATGTATTTTGAATATGTTACATATTAACAGTCAGGTGATCTCCTTCCTTCTCACTTGTGTAACAATATTAAACTTATTTCACCTAGGACCAAAATTTGATTTTGAGAAAGGTAGAAAAAATTTACTTTCTATGGAAGGAATATAAGACCTTTACATGGAAGAAGGGGGCGTTTTTGCCTCTTCTTTTTTCTGCCTACTCCTCCAAAATTTGTTCCAGAAAGCTATGGCAGTAAGGGTTACAAGAGGAAGCAGGAATAAGCCAAAATTGGTATAGTACAATGTTTTGAGTAGAAAGAATCCTTCCATTTGTGGAAAAGCAATTTGGGATCTCAGCAAAGAGCTTTCATTCAGATTGTTGATTTCAGTGTGTATATATATTGAGTTCTCTCTTTAAGAAAGGCTTTAAAACAATTAGAGTACAGTATTCTTCCATTTAATATATATACATTTCTCTTCGAATAAACACAATTAATCTATGGAGAATAGGCATGTGCCATATCAGGCAATGTAATGTTCCTATTTTGATATTACATTTGTAGTTTAACTCACATTTAACAAAATTAAGCATTTTTAAAATGGACATCTCTTCCAGAAATTTAATCAAATTAAGTAATCATCTAAATACAGGAGCTATTATGTACATACTCATCATGTTTACATGACTAATCATCATTCAGATGTGCTGTCTGGACGGGAATAAAATATGATTAAAATGTGTAGTAGTAAAATGTGGCTTAATTAAAGACTATTTCTAACAAAATAAAACATAAGACAAAATCTTCAGATCTCAAATAAGATGTATAATTATTTAATAGGGCCAGGTTTCACTGAAAAAGTGATCAAAGAGTACCAGCAGGTGCCTTTTTAATTAGAGTCTTCCCTAGAGTGATATCTGTAAGTATGATCCTTGCTAGTAACTACTTATACAATTATATTTGCTAATGGCTTACAGAAAGGACCTCCAAAGTTATCTTAAGTAAGCTCTAGATAAGTTATGCAGAAGTCCTAAATTGGCTATTAATCTATTCAACACTGAAATAATTTGATCAAACTATTATTAGAACAACAGAATTTCCTGGGGTAGCTCTAAAGGCAGACCTGTGTAAACATAGTAGCCTAATCAGGAAGCAGTTACCAAAGCCAGGCTGTCTGAAAGATAAGAGCGCAGTGGTTAGAATGCAGAACTGCAGGCTAACTCTGCCCATAGCAGGAGTTCAATCCTGACCGGCTCAAGGTTGACTCAGCCTTCCATCCTTCCAAGATCGGTAAAATGAGGACCCAGATTGTTGGGGGCAATATGATGACTCTGTAAACTGCTTAGAGAGGGCTGTAAAGCACTATGGAGTGGTATAGGTAAATCTAAGTGCAATTGCTATAGCTATATATGAGCTAAAACTGAAAGAAAAACAACAACTGAAGCTACAATGGTACAATGGTAGCTACAAAAACATTTTTAAATCAAGAAACTTTTAGGTTATGAAACTCTCCTTGTTATGTCCATTACAGAAGGGTTTTACCCTGTTGGCTGATAAATCACCTACGGTACTATAGGATTTCAGAACTGTAAAAGCATTAGTGTGACCAAGCTCAGTTCAGAGTATCTGCACCTTTCCTGCTTTTGTTAGAAAATCAGCTTTAGTCAGATATCATCTGCTTTTTAGATAGCTGTCTATCAATATGTGTAGATGGGTCACCACCCAGCAAAACCCTATGTCCGTGATGGCGAACCTATGGCACGCGTGCCACAGGTGGCACACGGAGCCATATTAGTGGGCACATCAGCTCAGCTCTGGGGCGCATGTGCGTGCCGGCCAGCTGATTTTTGGGCCTTCTGGGCCCACCAGAAGTAGGGAAACAGGCTGTTTCCTGCCTCTGGAGGGCCTGGGGGCGTGGGGAAGGCCCGTTTTTCTTTCTTACCTGGCTCCAGATCCTCTCTGTGTATCTGGGAATGGTGAAAACAGCCTTTCCCACTCCCTTGGAGGCCCTACAGAGGCTCAAAGGGCCCATTTCCCCACTCCCGGTGGGACAGGAAGTGACGTTTTTTCCTGTCCCCAGCCTCCAGAGACTCCTAGAGAGGCTCCTAGAGGCTCCTAGAGACTCCTAGAGAGGTTCTGGAGGCTGGGGACAGCAAAAAATGTCACTTCCTGTCCCACCGGGAGTTGGGAAATGGGCCCTTTCATGCTCCGTAGGGCCTCCAAGGCTGTTTTCGCCGTTCCCAGATACACAGAGAGGATCTGGAACCAGGTAAGAAAGAAAAACGGGCTTACCAGGCCATCATGTGCCAGGAGCGAGGGGGGAGGAGGTTGCGCACACATGCACGTGGGCACGTGCGCGCGCGACCCTCCCCCGCCCCCCCCTCCTGGCACGCGATGGCAAAAAGGTTAGCCATCACTGCCCTATGTGAACAGAAAATGCAAGTAAATTCTAAGGGATAATTCCACTGTTTTTAAAGTAAAGAAATACTTTGCCTTTCAGTGCCCACCCAATCTTCATAAGCAAGATGGATTTGCTTGCGATTCAAATCAGGTAAGTTAAAACTGAGCCTGCATGAGCTTAGCCTATAAGTGTATATAAGGACAGTATTTTTGGAAGTTGCAATACTCTCAATTTCACTTCACAGGATGTCACTCAGGGATGCTCACAAAGAGCTATAGGAACAGGCTGGATGGCTGTTAAGGAAGGGATTTTCCCCCCCAAACTATCAGATATGTAAGACTAAATAAACAATTGTTCAGAAATTTTGGTTTAAAAATAAAGGGGGGGAGGGGAGAATAGGTAGCATCTGGAGCCATAAAACCTAGTGCCATCAGGCACCCAAAATGTGATATTTCCTCCTCCTCCTTCCTCCTCCACAGTTATGAGGTATATGCCTCATCGTCACTTTTTGTATATTATTGATGCCTGTTGTATGCTGCCATTGTTGTGCACCATTCTCAGAAAGGCTTCAGCATAGATCCTGCTTATGTTACTTATACTTTTTACACTATTACAGTATGTTTTTCCCCTTCTTGCTTGATGGGTAATACTATTCTTTGGATGTTGTCTTTTTCCTTTTTTGTTTTGATGGCTTATGCTGTTTTAATTGTTATTTGGTTATTAGCTACTTTAAGCTTTAAAATGCTTTCTTTAAATATAGGAACTATTTAAGTAAATAGTAATGCAAATTTCATGACTCTAGTTTACTTTTGCCATTTCCTTGTGTAATTATTCTATCCAATATAATATTCACTAGGTACTGCATGTATTATTTCTTCTCAGCAGTTACTAGGATAATGCTCTAAGCTCTATGAAGTACAGCATAATGAAGTACATTATACTGGAAATTCATTATGCTGGAAATTCTATTCCGCAACTTTTACCTTCTTTCAAATTCTACTTTGCAACTTGGGATGTATAGTTTCAGGCTTGAGGTCAAAAAGCAATGTAACTGCTTTTTGTTCACATATTCTAATGTCTCTTTATTAAAGAGAAAACACTCAAGTCTGCTATCTTGCCTGGAAGCAAAATATAAAGTTATACTAACATTTTATTAGCCTGGTGAAAAGAAAATGAATTCGAGCATCCTAGCTACCTCGTGTAAAACACATGTGTAGTCCCAAAAACCTCTTTTATTGCAATAGCTGTGAATTCACAGATGAGTCCCATATAGTTGTAAAGAGTCCTTCGGGATAAGGCTGAAAATCATCCACCTTTATCTCCTTTGACACGCTGCCAAAGACCTAATTGGCAAAGCCACACAGAGTTCAGAATCAAACAGAGCTGCAGACTTTAAACTGAACAGAATTAACAACGTTGCTTCCTGCAGAGGCCCACGTGCCTTTGCTCCTCTTTTAAGTCTTATGGGAGGGAGCAATAATCTCTAAACCCTACTCCTGAGTCGTCCCTTTTGTTTTAACTGTTCTTGCCTTCTGGCAGCTCTGTGCATGCGCGCACTGGGAACAGGCTCCCCCTGTTCCTCTGCGTCGCTGAGGTCCAACTCTGGAGGCTCCAGAGGCAGCACGTACCTCCCAGATGGCCCTTTCTCTGCCTCCGACACAGAGCCCTCATCCAAGCCTTCCCCAGACTCTAGGACTGGCCCGTGTTCCTCCCCAACTTCCTCACTGTCCGACTCTGCTGCCAGCTCTGTAGGCTGCCGGCAGACCACAACACCTTGAAAGCAAAGCCAAGCAGTATTATTAGAATTTTTTTTTGCTCCCTGCTAGTAAAAAGGACAAAGTTCATGGCATTATCTGGCTTTTTATGGAGAAAGAAGAATGGTATGATGCTGACTACAATTTGTTCCTATTTAGGGACGTTGCTACAGTGGAGAGTGTAAGACAAGAGATAATCAATGCAAATACATCTGGGGCAATAGTAAGTTAATTTATACAAAAATATTTCTTAGCCTATTCTATCAGCCTTTTACTATGCTATGAATGAATTAAACGGTAATGCTGTATAAAAATAATTTGTAAGGGCCTTTAATGCACTTTTGTTTGGAATTTATATGTGCAGACTTAGTACTAATTCTCCCTACCCTATTTTGATATTTAAAAAGCTTCTCTCTCCCTCCCTCCCTTCCCTCTCTCTTTCTCTCGATATATCTGATTTATATTATCTTCTATTGTCTCTGGGTGTTCAAGCATTTTGGGGAATAGGCCTTATTCTCAGAAATCAATCAGGATCAATGTGATTTGGCTGTATCATGTTTGAAAATAGGGGTGGGTGAATCTAAATGAAGAACTGTGTTGCTCTGCAGAAATCTTCTACAGAGCTTTGGCAGAATCGGAGGATAAAATCTCTTCTCCCCCATAAAATATTGCCAAATAAGTCCCCTCTTAACTGCAAATTAAAAAAATAATAATTGCAAATGTACAAGATTTACTAAAAAATTTTGTCCTTGATAAAAAGAAGTATCTTCCAGACCTTCTGATTGTATTAGGAAAATAACTCTATCTTTTTAGTTGTTTTTCCAACTTCCCTTGTTCTTAATAGTCAATATACAGTTTTTTTACAATCTTATATACCAGACACAAGCAGTAAATTTTTTATACACATGAAAACTGTTAGGGAAATCCTTTAAAAAGGAAATCATATAATACATACTACTGATATCTGGTTCTTTGTTTTTAATTTATTTAAATGTACAGTGAGCAATAAAACACTGAAAAGAAAAAGAAAAAATAGGGGGAAAAACAAATTACAGAAAAGCAAAAACAAAACAAAAAATTTGGAAAAATATAGAAAATTATTAGCGAGCGAGAGAGAACATTTTAAACATCCCTATTATGTTCATAGTATGTTCATAGCTAACTGTAGTAGAATTATTTGTGACATGATTAAACATTGGGACCAAGCGAATAAAATATTGTGAGCGTTAATTGAAATTACCTTATTTTCTTCCACAGAGGCTTCAGGGTCTCACAAACACTGTTACGAGAAGCTTAATACAGAAGGTACACAGAAAGGAAACTGTGGAAAAGATGGAGACAAATGGATTCCTTGCCACAAACAGTAAGTTTGAGAATGCTGGATTCAATTGTTCTTAAACTGACTTGCTTGTTGGCCTAAAAGATACAGGAGCAGAATTTTCCACTTTATTACAGATACCTTTGCTTCCCACAGAAGGTACTACTGAAGTTTTGGGACCCTCAAATAGCCTTGAAGATAACATGGGATACTGTATGATGGAAACTGGGGGAACAGAGAAGCATTTTTACACTCATTCAAGGCACTTTTTAAATTCACTTCATCATTTTCAACTCAATAACAACTTGAATAGTAACACATTTTTCTCATTTGATATGTTATCCATATTTGTCAGGTTTCTAATGGCTTGTAGCTCTTGCTTATTTATTTTTTGTATTTATTTATTTATAGTGTTTAAACTTTAAACGTAATATTTCATAAACCATAGCAATGCCTGATAATTTTTAGCATTCAGACAACTTCATTCTAGAAGTGAATGTGTAGCATGACTATTTCTCACAAAGTTTAGAATTAAATTCTTAAATGAAAAAAGAATTAAAATCATTTGGAATTCTGCTACACTGCAGTCCGGATTGTATTTTTCCCTACAGGCAAGTTTCCTAATTTGTCAAAATAGTCTTTCTTTTCCCATTCTGAAAATAGTTTGTTATGTATCTTGGCTTTGTCTTACAGCGACGTGTTCTGTGGATTATTGCTTTGTGCAAATCTTGATGGGGTTCCACGAATTGGTCACCTTCAGGGAGAAATTATTCCAACTTCTTTTTTCCACCAAGGTGTCGTAGTGAACTGCAGGTATGTAAAGGTTGATTCAGTGTGCAAGATTGGCTTTTTCAGTTTACCTAAAAATTTGAACATCGAGCACACTCAGATTGTTTCTCAATAAATTAAATTAAAACCATATTTAATTAGTTGAGTTTAATTAATTTCTTATGATTTTTTTCATTGTACTGGCATCCGAATAGGTTGTTTAATATAGATGTAAAATTATTCTATTGTTTCATTGAGATAAATTGAAATGTCATTGTTTCAATGAGGTGCCAAATTAATTTTATTTTTTCTTTTATTTTAGTATGTTTCTTATTTGGACACACAAAATTGTCCAAAACAGCAAACATCCATAAATAGAGTGAAAAAAATAATCATATTATTTTGCTTCCTGGATTTTCAGGTTATGCATGCTATAAATATTTTACATCTATTTATTCTGATGAAGTTTAATAATGCTAGTAACATTTTAAAACTTCTTCTTGTAGTTGTGCACATGTACTTTTAGATGATGAAACAGATTTAGGATATGTAGAAGATGGGACTCCCTGTGGTCCTAATATGATGTGTATGGACCGAAGATGCCTCTCTATTCAGTCCTTGAACATAAGCAGCTGTCCTATGGATGCTAATGGAAAAGTTTGTTCGGGACATGGGGTAAGTCCCAGGTCAGCAGAATATGTGACACACCAATTTCATGGAAAACCATTCTTCTTACTTCTAATCTACAGTATATGGAGATCTTTATACATGAAGACAGGAAGCATAAATTCCTGATAGGATGTACAAGAATTTGCCCTTTCATCTCATTGTTTAACTTTCATTAATTTAGCCAGTCTTGGAGATATTTTCTTCTACTACAGTGCTGTCAAACCCATGGCCCGTAGCCCAGATGCATTACGCACTGGCCACGCCCACACCCGGTTTAGCGAAGGAGAAAAAGTCCCGATACATCACATGACATCACCGTGAAAACACGAGTTTGACACCCCTGTTCTACTATTACTACTATTTACTCCTGGGATATTTATTACTACTGTTTACACCTGGAATAGAACAACATTGTTCTATAAAGACATAAAATAGAAATATTGTACAGAACCATAATTAACAGAGTTACATGCAGAACCCAGTTTGGCATACTTATGCAAAGGATTGTCCTCAGTTGAAATATAGCTTTTTATCTGATAGCTATCATTCATCCCCTTCCCCTCTGTGGGGCATATATTGTATCCCTTGGGTAAAACTGATAACTTAAAGAACAACAATGTTTCCTTCCCCTCCCTTCCATTCAATCATATCTGTTTCTTGAGACTGCCTGAAACATGTCCCTACATTTTTCTTTCTTTCTTTCTTTTTTTTTTTGATAATTTTTTTTTTAAACAAACAAAATAGAACACATCTTTTCAAAAGGAAGCTTTTGCTCCAGTCACAAATTGAAACAAATCATTAACAAATCTTATTTTCAGTTAACACAACTCAATATTTTAAACAGATATTTCCCTCAAATCTATCTATATAACTATACCATTATCCCCAAAAACCCGTTACTTAAATCTTAAATCCTATCCAGTTAACAATTCATTTTTCTCTTTCATTTGCTTAGATGGATATTTTGACAATATAAATCATAATTATATTAGACAAATTAAACATTCATTAATTATTTAATTATTATTAAATCTAACGTGCATTTTATCTTAACTATCACTCTAAACATGCACCTCCTTGTTTTGATCATCCCACCTCTTTTTATTATCTTTGATGTTAAACCAATCATTTCTATTTCTTGACTGTTAATCACAGCATAACCCTTTGTTTTAACTATTAAATATAGCATATTTTTATTTTTTGGCCATTACCCAGCATGCCCTTTGTCTGGCTGTTGAACACAGCATATTAATTTTGTTTTTTGGCCGTTACACTGCATTTTCAGGTTTGTTTGGCTATTGAACACAGCATCTCTATTTTTGTTTTTTGGCCGTTACACGGCATATTAAGTTTCATTTTGGCTGATACCCAGCATGACTGTTTGTTTGGCTATTCTATACAGCATATTATAACTTTTTGGCTGTTAAATACAGTATGTTCATAGTTGGTTTAACAATCTCTACTTAAACCTTTCTTTGTTGTTTCCCTCTATATGCATCGCTTTTCATTTAGTCATATTTTTCTTTATCTTTTTTCATAGCAATCATAACATTTTAACCTTGAGACATAGTTCTTGCTTAAAACATATTTTTAAGTATATTTTTAAATTCCTTTTAACATTTTCAATTAATCATATTCACCCTTATTCTTTATCTTGACATTTTACCATTAAAACATAGTTCTTGCATTAAACATAATTACATGTATTAATTAGTTTTATTTAACAATCTTAATTTCTATAAAAGCCTCCCTTTAATTTATTACAATCATCTTTACTTTATTTTATTTTTAATCACATTATCTTCATTTCCTTGTCTGCAAACATAAATTTCTTTCCATTTTCCAAGTTTTTAATTTTATTCTCCATAAATCCAATTAGATCTCTTTTCATATTTTTATTCCGGATATAATGTATCAAATCTCTTTCTTTTGGGGCTGTGCTAAATCCTTTTTCTATTCCTGCGCCAACATTCAAGTTATTATTTGTTCAACTGTAGGAGTTCCATTGTAAATTCTTTTTCTTTTCACCCAAGTCCAGCTGCTTGCAGTCAGGAAAGAAAAATCCTCCTCCACAGTTCAGCAATTTTTTTTTCTGTAGAGCTCAAAGTTCTCATAACAAAGGGAGGTTACAAAGTTCCTCTTTATGCCAGATGGTGTCTCTCTATAATTCACATTTCCCATTAGTCATGCAAGACTCCAATTTTATTTCTTATTATATAACAATCAACTTTATTTTCTTCTTTTGGTTAAAAAAGTATCAAATCTTCTTCTCCCCCCCCTCCTTAGTCCAATTCAGATTTTAAAGTGTTTAGTCCTTTTACCAAATCTCTAAATTAAGTCTCTTAATTCTTGTTCCAAAATTAGTTGTTTCTTGGGTCTTTGTTCTTTAAAGTTGCAGTTTAAAGTTTTTTTTCAAAGCCCCTTTGTTACTTAGCCACTGTTTTAGGCTAGGGATCTTCTAGTTACTGATATAGCTCTAAACGTTGTTACAACCCTGGGTTGTTGTCACTCACCCGACTTCAAAAGGCTCCGTTTTAGTTCGCTTTCCTCCAGCGCTTTTCTTGCCCAGTTGTCCCAGCTTTGTGGCAACCGGCATGGCTGCCGCCCCCCGCCGCCGACTCACAGAGGGTTCCCTCTGACCTCCAAGGAACTTGCCTGTTCCTCTCGGTCTTCCGAGGTGCCCCTCTTCTTCCCCCGTCCCTGCAGGACAGGTTCGGTCCGCAGACCCATTGGCAGCGGTTCGGCAGCCGGGGTTTTTGCAGAACTCATCAGAGACCGCTATTTCCCCGACTGTCTTGCCGCGACATCAACCGGAAGTTCCCTACATTTTTCTTGACAAAGTTTTTCAGAAGTAGTTTGCCATTTCCTTCTTCCTATGGCTGAGAGAAAATGGCTGGCCCTAGCTCACCCAGCTTACTTTGTGCCCAAGGCAGGACTAGAACTTATGGTCTCTTAGTTTCAGGTCTAATGCTTTACTACTATGCCAAATTGGCTCTTGATGTTTACTTAATAGCATGTGAATGGTGCTTTTTTTGTTGAAGATCTTGTTGAACCACCATCTCCTCTTCCTTTCCTAGCTAGAATATTCCCAGCTGCAGAATGGCAGCCATTCTGATCACTTTTTGATACTCACACTGGAGTATCTAAAAATATTGAGCCAGTGGGAAGTTTATCAGTATCCATCCTATTTCTTGAGCCTGGGTCCAAGTACTTGTGAAATGAGATGTCCATGATGCTCTCTGAGCTTGGTTGTTTTCTTGCAAATGTTTCATTGCTTGAACTAGGTAACATTAATGAACTTCATTGAGCACTCATGATATTACCTGGTTTGAGTAATGAAAGATCTGCAAGAAAACAATCAAACACACAAGCCCCTCATTTCAACTCTGAGCTATAAATATCTATCAGTATTTGTGAGATATTACTGTGAGCCCTTGAGACTCGGGCAAGCATATACATTTATTTTTTGTTGTTATTACAATAAATTATTTTTCTTTCTTATGTGATTATCTGAATAGTTAATGAGTTAACATTTCACTTAAAACCATATTGAAATGTTACATTTTCTGATATGACAGAATGTTTTTCCTAAAATAAGTTGTCTTTTTGCTTATGAAAATATACAGTGATTCTTCAGGCTACGTATAGACAATCAAAAATACACATAACTATGGAACAGGTTTGTTTACCTAGTTTCAGCTGTGATTTCAGAAAAACACAGAGATTCTTTTTTATTCTAGAATGAAAGCATTTTAACTTATAAGCTATTAATTGCTCATTGCTGTGCATTTCTATGCTAATTGGGCAATGTGTGTTTCTGAAGGAACGCTGAAACAAGTTAGATTCTCCTGTGATGATAAGATGACTTTGTTTCTCTGGTAGCATGTGGCTATCCGAAGACATCAGTGCAACATTCTCCAAACAGAAGCCCTTATTCTGCTCCGTCTCCTCCAAGACACCATTTTAATGATACACTAATATATGCCAACTTTTTTTTTAGGTGTGCAGTAATGAAGCCACCTGCATTTGTACCACTACTTGGGCAGGTACAGATTGTAGCATGTTTGATCCTAGAAGGAAAGATGACTCAGAAAAACCAAGTGGACCAAAGGGTTTGTGTGATTTCAGTTCCTTTTACCACCATATAAATTATATTATTAACAGGAACATTTGTAACAAAGCATTTGAAAACTATTAAACTATTACATATATTTTATATTTTACATTTATGGTTCAGGAGGTATTTCACAAAAAGCAATGATATGAAAATATTTTGAATTTTGTTATTTTTTCTAAAATATAGAAAATATAATTAATTCTAATAATAATTCTACCTATCGGTCTGACAAAATATCTAACATTTTAAATGTATGAGTATGTTTATATAATAATAAAGATTATATTTTTATATTTTAACACCTAAAACCCTTTATTAAAATAATGTATATATAGAAGTAATCTAATATTCTTGGATACTTTCAGAGGTCATTTGTAGCACAGTTCTCTGCATATAGAACTCCTGCTGAATTTAGTTGGATAGGAAGTGTATATAGGAAATAAAGTCTTGGATTGTTTAACATGAACCTAATAAAAAAGTTACAGGATATTAATATATATTTGTAAAAACTAAGTTACTTATTTTTTATTTTTGCAACTTAATATATTTTTTTAACTGCAGCATGACTATTGATTTAAATATTTAGAATACAAAAAAGCCATTTTGAATCCATTATAGGATCCCAAACACACAATTTAAAAAACTTATGTAATTTAATGCATTGAGTAAAAATGCTCAAATATGACTGAGTAGCAGTTTGCATTTTTAAACTGGGCATCATTTGAATACTTGAATGATTTTGAATTTTATTACTGTATTTTCATGCCCATTCTTTCTATCTAAGATGTTAGAATCCATTTAATTCCACCATAAATCCATAAATTAGCAGGTGGGAAGGGATATTGATTATAAGAACACAATCTACTGATAGTGGGGGACAGGGTTTCTGAATGGTATTATACTCTGTATTCATCATTATACAGAAATTAATTCTGATAGATATATTACTTATATAGAGTTTTAGTGCTATTAATGCATGTAAATTTTAGACTACCCTAATAAAAGAATGGAATGTTACTGGTAGATTGTAAACATATGAAAATTTCGAGAGGAGCAAAGCTAATATACATGCTAGAAATTCATGAAATTGTGTAAAACTGATCAGAGATTCATAAATGGTAACAGGACAGAACTAGAGGACCCCTGGGACTAGCTCTAGAAATAGGTACAAGGGTGTTTTAATGCTTTTCCAGTCCTGTATTATGCCATTTGATAACAAAAAGCAAGCCTTAGTTGTAGCTTTTCTCTTCTCTCTCCAGCCTTATCCTTTTTCTAAATGAAAGCTTCAGTAATAAAAGACTCATTCTCCCATATTATGCAATATAGGACCTGATGATCTCAGAAACCCCATTTCTAGTGAGAGAAGGATTTCATTCCTCAAGATATAAAATTCACTGAAAATAAGTACTACGAAGGTTGTCCTTCTGTGACAATATTTTGATGATCTTTTCTTACTTCTAAGTAACAAAAACAAAAATAGAATTCTAATGGGTCTGAAGGAAGATTTGATTTGTAAAATCTTTTGAAACTCCTTTGGATAAACCCAGACTTGATAAAAAATAAGGTATTTCTAGAGTAGGAGACATGAAGAGCAAATGGGAACAAACTGGTATTGAAAAACATTAAAGCCAGTTTCCAAAGAAAAGATTCGTGTAACAGAAATAGAAGACAGCCATGTCTTTGCCTCCCAATTTTTCCAGTTCCTAGTTTTAAAATTTCCTAATTTTGTATTTTGTTTACATAATGCAGATTATAATTTCAATTTGGAAACAAAAATTCTGCCTACATATTCATAAGGGAGGCTATAATCCTAGCCCTGGTATTGGGCCATAATCTAAAGATAATTTTAGTCATTAAAAGTCTGCAATATTTAAGAATGTTCTTTTTCTATCCAACCAACTAGTGACTATTTTAAAAACTTCCACAACTAAAAATATTTTCAGTGTTATACTATTTCCTAAAAAAAAAGGTTTTTCCTATGCTCTGTAACTTTTAACATTCTCAAAGTGTAAAACTATTTAAGTTGGTGTTCAATAGACTGTCCTCAACTTACAACCCTTCATTTAGTAACCGTTCAAAGTTACAAAGCACTGAAAAAGTGACTTATGACTCTTTTTCACACTTACTACTGTTTCAGCATCCCCACAGTCACATGATCAAAATTTGGACACTTGACAACTGACTCATATTTAGGATGGTTGCAGTATCCCAAAGTCATGTGTTCACCTTTTGCAACCTTCTGACAAGCAAAGTCAATGGGGAAGCCAGATTCACTTAACAATTGTGCTACTAAAATAACAAGTGCAGTGATTCACTTAACAACTGTGGCAAGAAAGGTCATAATATAGGGCAAAATCACTTAACAACTTTCTTGCTTAGCAACAGAAATGTTGGGCTCATTTGTGGTCATAAGTTGAGGATGCCTGTAGCTCTGAGATTTTTATAGAACTTGAAAGTTGAAGGTAATCGTCATACTTTGCAAAAGTACCTATTATAACAAAAATTATACAAACCATCTTGTTTTCACTGCATTTGCGTACTTCATTTCTTTCGGTCCTTTTACATATTTCAGGTTCTAAAGTCAGAGATAAACTTCGAAATGTAATATTAAGAGTTAGAACTGCAAGAGATTTTCCTACAATCAATATTTAAACAACTTTTCCCAATAAAATAATTTCCAGGTGGATAGGATAATAAATCTCATTGTGAGTTTGAAGCTAGAGAGTCAGTGGGAATTTAAAATACAGTTTGGTATTTATTTAGTAAAATAACATAACTATTCTGTCCCCATACCATGCACACACCCAACCAGCCAGCCGAGGGTTAAATAAACTCTTCAAACACTCAACGTCAGTGATAAGGAACTTGGCAGCAACTCCGTAGCTGCCTGCCAAGAACTTTTACTCCGATAACACAGACAAAAATACACACAGTTTGAATAGTCCAGTTTGTAATAAATCCACAGCAAATAGGCGTTGTGTCCAAAGGTGCAAAGTGACTTGCCAGAGATTAGCTTTGTCCGTCACAGAGTCCGAATGGCCACCACACTCCCTTTTATAGCCTGTGGGGTGTGGTCCAGTGACTCAGCTTAATCTCTGGCACGCCTCCTTTTCTGCTGCGCACGCTTGTCTCTCCGGTGCTGGCGTGGGTCCAACCACAATGTTTCTTCGTCACTATCCGACGGCTTGGAAACACCTGGCTCCTGGCCAATCTCTTCTCCTTCGGGAGACACCTGAGGCATTGCCAGAGAGGAGGGTCCTGGAGAGGGAGGCCTGGCCGTCTCCTCTCCTTCATGTTCGGAGCCTTCTTTCTCTGATAAGATAGGCTCGGAGGATGGAGCCACAACAATAACTGACCTAGAGAGGCTTCGGTGGAGGGTATTTTAGCATTGGTGAGATTCTGTGAGATCTGGAGGAAGACATCATTTGACATTCGAGCAAGACACCCTATATTGCTATTTATCCCGCGGAGACAGAAGCACATTTCTCACATTACTTTTATTTTCTCAAATAAGGACATTCCACACATCAAAAACCCAGAGCTTTCAGAAGGATATTTTTGAACCTAATTCCTAAAGGAAATTCTAATCCCGTAAAAAGTTAGGATGAACCTCAGTTGAATATTGATATGTGTTATATTACATCCCATTTTTCCTCCTGAATTCAAATTGCTTTTGATACATACTCAGTATAGTCTATCTTCCAAATTAATTTTTATAAAGTTTGTAAGATGTTGCCATAACAAAGAAAAATAACCCCAACATGCACAACCAACAATCTTTATTATTCTGGTTAATAGATTAGAATATTTCTCTTTCCTTTCGTTAATCCTAAATAGTTGCTAATTGGAATATACCAGTTGTTTATTAGAAATAGTGCAGAATGTAAAGCTAGATTGGAAAGGAAATCCATTTTTATGTGGAGTTAAAATTTTAGACATTAGAAACAGTTAAAGCCTTTTGCATTTATGTGTTTCTAATTGGGACGGAAATCCAGTGTTATAGAAGTTGCCAGTCTTAGTTTTGAAGAATCAGGACAGATTCACGTTACTCTAGCATAAATGAATTTTATATTGAACATGATATGATTTGTGCCTCATCATTAATAAGTGTATTGGTACATAAACATTAGTGGGGGCCCACTTAATGTATGAAATATTAGGTTTGATGGACAGGCATCTATCTGGGACCCTCTGCTTGCCAAGCCAAACTATAGATGAACAGTTTGAATGATGTTGATTAGGAACTACTTCATCTGCCGATAGAAAGCTAGAGGAATCCTTCTAGAGAATAATTTGTAATAGTGGCCGATAGCTCAGACTTTGCACAGATTCATATCCAATTTTCCCCCTCTAATTTTCTATACTTTCTACATTCCTAAAAATCCTGGAATGATTTGAGTAACATTTTTTCATATTTTAAAAAATCTTAAATATTTGCCATATTTAGGGAATGCTTTTAAAATTTTGTAAAGACCATTATCAAAGTTTTCTTGGCTGTTTGATCATAATGCAACATATTCCCAATAGTACAGGAGTGTGTTGTTATTTGGTCATAGAATATCTGTTTTTAAACAGTCATCAGTACTGTATTCTCTAGAGCAGTGTTTCTCCACCTTGGAGTCCACACATCTGAAGGCTGCCAAGGTTGAGAGACACAGTTCTAGCATTTATCATGAAGGCCGATCAAACCAATGTATCCCTCTGTAGGTTCTGATATGTTTATGGGCTAGTGTTAGTTGAGAATTGAACAGAATGTCCTCTCTTTCCTTTCTCCTTGGATGGTCCTTAGAATGTGGGCATCACTCATTATTTTCAGCAGGCAGCTGATGCATATTTTTGGAGAATTCTAGTTGATTGCATAAAGAGAAGAGAAGCACCATTTCAATGTACATCTTCTGCAGTGTATGCAAACTGCAAAGGAGCTACAAAACTGTAGCCAATCCAGGCCTATCATCTTCCTTGTTACAGCTCCACCCATGAATGCATTACAGAACATTGATCAATTTTTAAAATAAATTGCACTTAAATATGCTGAATTATTTTTAGAACTGCTAAAATGAATTTTCTACAAAGTGAATGACAGAAAATGGTATATCATTCTGAGGTGCCATATGATTTTTCTTTTCAGATCTTTTATGTATGTGATGATTGTCTTTTTAAAAGATCTTCCCTCTTCCCTCTATACAGTGAGCATGGCCACTAACAGGCTTATAGGTGCAGTGGCAGGGACCATTCTGGCACTGGGGGTGATATTTGGAGGCACAGGGTGGGGAATAGAGTAAGCATATTTATTAGTTTCAGAGTTTTATGTTTGGTGCCTACTGTGTGAGGTAACTGTACGCATCTGATCCCTCTGTGTACTCCAACTAGCTTTGTGTTCTGTGGTGACTGTATTTGTCATGTGATTTGAATATTTGTGTCGTGTGATATGCTCATGCAATGTTTAACTCTCTCCTGTCTGGGATAATGTGGGGCATAAAACAATAGTTTGTCAATTTTGTAGCACTATAATTAATACAATTCAATGTTTATATGTTTTTGATGCTCTAAATTATGAATAAAATTTCAAAAAGTTATTATAGTTTTAAAAATTTGTGTAATAGATACCTTAGTTCACTTGATATAATTTGGTTTATTGCCAGAAGCATTCAGAGGAATAGTAAGTAAAAGTATACGTTGTAAATAATTAAATAATTAAAAAGCAGAATTGTCCAAATCACCGTTTTTCAATCTTAGCCACTTTCAGATGTCTGGATTTCAGCTCCCAGAATACTTCAGCCAGCATATCTGAAGTCCAGACACCTTGAAGTGACTAAGGTTAAGAAACTCTGACCTAGATCAATAATGTTTGGTTCTGTTGCACCTTAGGTGAGTAAGGGAGCTCTGCACATGGAAACAGTTTTCTTCATGCAGAGCCAGTGAGCATCCAAATATGTGCATTCTCACCAGTGCTGAGAGGACCATGTACATTTTCTTGGCCTAGCAAGAGGCTATTTTGATGATCATAGGGCTCCTCATCTGAGCTTATCTGTTGTGTGTGTTACTAAAATTGGATCAAGGCTATTATGAATATTTATATTAAATGAGATGAATCATTTTGAAATAGATAACAAGGGTATTACTGATATGCATATTGATGTGTCAACCATATATGTGGTTAAAAATAAGTACAACCATTTAGGAACTTTATGGGAACATCATCAGATATTCTTTATAGCAATATCATTAGAATTAATTGTACTTTTTATTTGATTTCCTTTTAAATAATGCATGCTCCTATGTATTCTGCCTACTGAATTGTATTTATAAAATCAAGAAATTATTCTGCTGTTATTTCTAGAATAGCAGATTTTCCAGATAACTGCACATTTTCCATAACACTACATTCGTCCATCCATCCTGTTCTTCAGCCTGATGGTAGCATTTCTGATGTTAGGAAGATCAAGCTACTAAAGAAAGCAGAGACAGCTTTAGTGGTCACTGGTGGCTGTAGAGAAAAGGAGAGGATCCTAATTTTCTTATGATGATTCATCTAAAATTACATTTTCTTAAAATCAAAATTGCTTTGTTATTCATAGTAGTGATACTATCATAACTAATGACTGCTTACTTGTTTTTTTTGCATCAGTGTGTGATCTGCCTACAGTTTTGTTTTAAGAAATGATAAATATGTGCATGTTACAGAAAATTCATTATTAATCCAAACTATTACAATTTTTCAGTAAAATTTGATTAAATAACAGTAGAATTGAATTTCTATCTAGGAGCAGCTGAAACATCATTAAATGAGGAAACTATCATTCTTCATCAGGCTAGATATTAAGATGCTTGTGGAGAGCCTTTATAATAAAGGATCTGAAGGAAAGAAAAGTATGATGGCCCTCATTAGAGGAATTGATTTTCTACATTGCATTAGTCAGAATCTAATAGAAGAGAATGTTTTAACCTAGCAGTCACCCAGCAGATTAATTCCTGATCAGCAAAGGGAATTAACTTGCTGCACGATGGGAATCCAGTTTGGATTATCAAATTTGTTATCGTCTAAATTGCCAAAAGCAATCTTTCTATATTTGCATGCCACCATTTTCATAAGAAAAGATGTTTGCAAATGTATATATTGAATTCATTATTAGATATTCATCCTAGTGCTACAAGGTTGACTCGAGTGAAGCTCTTCTATGGGTAGATGGTTTAAAGATGACCCTCAAGCCAAGAAGCTCACCAGGCATAAGAAATTCCTTGCCAGGAAGGAACATGGAGAATTTCCCATGTTGTAAATATAAACTGCTCTTCGTTTTAATAGCAGGAGGGCTACTTTCAGGCACTCCATCCTTTCTGTTATTTACACTTAACAAAACTAGCTATCTCTCAGGTGAGCAGGGGAGTGAATAAAAAAAGACGGGCATGCTTCTAGGCATTAAGACTGGGATAAAATAAATAATTACTTCCTGTATAAATAATCACAATTTCCAATAGCACTTGCACAAAATCCTACTTTTTAAAATTTAAAAACAAACTGTTTTTAAATGTCCATATTAGTTTTAACTATGGATTTTTTAACAGCATTAGCACATGTTCAAAATCATCTCTAATCTGTGTCTTGCTTTTTAAAAGACTATACTGTGAATAAAACAAAAGATTAAATCAGATATGTATCATTTTGTTGAGAAGTAAAATAGTGATGGTGTTTGTTGTTTTAAGGGTCAGCTTTGATGGAAATACTCAAGTACACAATGATTTACAATGCCACAGAAGACATTTACTTAAGTCACTAAACAAAAGTATTTTTCAGTGTATATGGAATGTAAATAAAATTTGAAAGAATAGACCCAGAACTTATCACTTGACTTCTATCACCCACAGGTGATTGGATTTCCAGGTTTTGCACTTATTTCCATGGACCAATTTAGCTTATTGTTGTTTTTTTGTTATTTTTAGTTGTCTTTGTACTTTTTCCCTGTTTCTCCTGATGCTCCTTTTTTTTCTTTTTTGTTCTTTAAAATTCTTCCAAACTTCATCCAATAATTTAAAAAGTTAGTTGTCTATCAAGTAAAGAAACATACTATCTGACTTTTTTATTTAAAAATGTTTGAATACTGCAAAATTGTAAGGTATTCATGGCATTATAAATGTTTAGATAAATTTAAACTTAAGTCCATAGTTTCATTAGTAAGAAATATTCTAGGGAAGTGTTAGTTTCTATATGGAAGCATGATAGATAATTCATCTATCTTAAAAAAAATCTTCATGTAGTTTTTAAATAACTTTGGCCCGTTTGAAAATGTTTCTTTTAAATAATTTAATAGCTCACTTATTTTAAATTGTTTTACTACATTTCCCTGGATGTGAATGAATTAAGTGGTTGGTTCTGATCTCTTTCTTCCCATCATCCTTTGTCACAGGTCCTAGCGCCACCAATCTTATAATAGGTTCCATCGCTGGTGCCATCCTGGTAGCAGCTATTGTCCTTGGGGGGACAGGATGGGGCTTTAAGTAAGCAATGCCGCATGTCTTTTTTTCAGTGGCTATAGCACTTCTTCCTGCTTACATCACTAGATTTTGAGTTCCTGCTACAAGATCTCCAGTAGTGGTTTACTTTTAAAAAATCCATATTTTGTAAAAGACCAAGTATCTTTTTAAGAAATCTCAGAAATGTCACCAGGGTGCAAAGTTGTAATATAGAGTATCTAATAGAGTCACCCAACATAGTCTGAAAGACATCTTTGTATTGCAGCAAATTACTGCATCTGACTCCTTGGATAGTATTAGAGATCTTCAACCTAAGGAAGCTTGTGAAATTGCTGTGGACATGACCAGTGCAAAGATGTTGTTCTAAAAAGAGTAGTTATTTACAAAATGCTACCTTGAGGGCTTCAGTAGGGTCCAGAAAGCCTGAATGCAAAACAGTTCAATTCCCAAATGTCAAAATTAATTCTGCATTACATTCCAAGAACACAATAAAGAATTCATTTTGCAGAAGGAAAACTGATAAGGTCAGTGAAAATACGTAACTCACCCAAGTAGTATGAAACTGAAATTTGAACCAAATCTCAAATCTCAAAACTAATTTTTTCATCTTGGGAGAGCATAGTTTAAATCAAGCAGTATTATTGATAAGATAGCCCTCCTCTTGGCAGAAACTCCAATCTGTAAAATCTTGTGCATACACAGACTCATACTCATTTCATAACCTCATCTATCCCTCTGTACCTTGACTGGAACTATTTTGCAATGAATTATTTCAGCACCTATGTATTTTAAGAATAAGTTGATTTATACAGCTGATGCCTCTATACTACACTTTGTCTATGTATTCCTAAAAATAAACATATAACGATTTTGATTCTTTGAATTGGCAGTGGAAAAAAATAGAATTTTGAAAAATATCTGACAAAATGGCAGCATAGTAGATATGGCCCAACATAAAATGCAGTTTTAAAAAAGACAACCTGATCTGTACAAGTCCAAGTGACTTTTCCAAGAATCTGAATTTGAAACTAAGAAGGAAATGTTTGCGAGTTCATGGCTGTCTCATTTTTTCTCCTTAATCTAAATAAAGAAGGTGAGAGAAACCTAGGACTTTTGTATCCCCATATTAAATACTACACACAGAGATAGATACAGAGAGAGCACATACATTTTTCGGCTAATAGGGTGGGGTTTAAGAATTCTTTCTAGGATAGAATGCTTAATGAAAATGGTTCGGCAAAAGCTTAATAGTAAACAGTTGCTTTAATGCAATTGCCCTATGTATGAATTAGTAAATGGGCCTAGGAAACCTTCATCCTCTAGTCATATAGAAGCAGCTTTCACAATTTATCTGCACCGTTAGAGCATGGGGGGCGGGGGTGAGATAGAAAAATTCAAGATGGCAACACACCTCAAAAATTTATTGTTTAGTTGCAGCTGTTATCTTGATTGTTTTAAATCTCCCCCTACCCCATTGACACACTGCACCCAGTTCCTTATGACAGGTTTTTAGTTTGTTTGTTATTAGGGGCTGAAATAATGTATTGTGGGAAAGTTAGAAAGAAGTATTTCTCTTATATCAGTTGATATAAATTATAAAACAAAAATAAGGTGTATTTTTATATAAAACTAAATAAACACAAATCTTACTAATTTTGCAATTAATATAGTTTATATATTATCAGGACATATGAAATATGCTTACTAATAACATGTCCTGCTTTTAATTCTGTTCAGATCATTGAGATAATAATTTACTTCTTAATGTTATGAAAACAAGATTCTACACCCTTTCAGAGGGAATTGAGG